TAATATCAGAAAATAGGAAGTTCATGCAATTCTCGACGCGATTTTCACTTGGTACAGGGGTAAGGTTCCGTACATTCGACCCCTTACCCACTGTAGGTGGGAGCCTTTGCGGCACTGGGGTAAAGATGATGATGACGACGCTGATGATGATATCAGAAAATGGGGAGGAGTTTAAAAACGATTTAAAAGTTTGAAGCGTTTTACATATGTAGATTTATAGTTTCTGTGTAATAGAAAGGAATAAATAAACCGAGTTTGGAAAATATAAACAATGACTTTGTTAGGCTCCAACTCTCCTATATTTTATTCTCCATTTTTCCTTTTTTAGCATTTCCAAGCTCTACGCAGACCCTTGGACTTTCCTGAAATGGAGTTCCCATATTATAAGTAAGAAGTCATTTTCCTGAAACAGGTTTATGTTTTATATTTTGTGGGTTAAATATTATTACATATGTTATGCATAAATCAATTTATTTTTCATGAAGCATTTCCCACAAGTAACACTTCTGGAAACAAACCAGGCTTTAGCACCGCTATCCCCTGGTCTAATGCAATTTCTATAAATTTTGCTAGGTGTGGTAGAGCAGCTTCAGCTTCTTGAAAATAATTCAGAGGAAACATACTCTGAAGCATCTGAAATGGCCCTTTCAGTTGCTGAAAGTACAGAAAAAAGGGAATCATTTTATTCTTCTCAAGAACAGCTCGGGTTATTTAGCAGTGAAGAAAGTAGAGACTTCTCTTACCTAGTAGACATTTTGGATGAGGCACGTCTGAACTTTGAAGTGGACTTAGAAACATGTGATTCTTTGGCATTCCCTATAAACCCATTACTATTTGAGGCCTTAGAGATGAAATATGGTAAGCAGGTGTCTTGGTCTAAGCCTGAAAGGAGGCTTTTATTTGACCGTATAAATTCGGGATTGAGTCATATTTTGAATTCTTTTATGGATATCCATATTGCGTCAAAGTCCTTGAAGATGAGCTTCTATCCAACATTGAGAAGAAGCGAAGTCGAGGAAGAATTGTGGGTGTTGCTGGTTAGTGAAGAAAAGGAAGCAAGAAAGGACATGTCTGAGAAGGGACTCGGGGTAGAAAGGAATTGGTTGAAAATGGAAAGAGAGATAAGTGTTATTTGTGAGGAATTGGAGAATTGCTTGTTCATCGAGCTAGCATCAGAATTCTTTTGCGTTTGATAGTTAGATTTTTTTATTGTTTTTTCTTTCTACATTTACATCCATTTTTTCAGGTAAGATGCAACATTGAATTGCGGTTTTGATCATTACATGCTATAAGATGAATACATTTGTATAGGGATAGACTTGGAATAAAAGAACAATTACGCTTTCTTATTATATGTTGAAGAACAAAAACACAAATACATTTGTATAGGGATACATTTGGTTTCATTCCTAGTCTTAGGCTATCTTAAAAACAGAACTGAAAGTGGTATAATCTTATATTCTTTTATTATGGGAGAAATAACAAATGGAAGCTTTGTGGACATCTTTGATTCGAATTAGTTATTGTTTAATCTGTCTTTAAAAATATCCTTCAATAAAAGTTGGCTTCTCTCATTTAATACTGAGGTCTTTCAGCTCCATGTTCTCTCATGTGTTTTTCACTCTTCATTTGGAGTTCTTCCTTACCAACATATATTTGTTTTTCATTGTTCTTCAAAACTAGTTTGCAACTTTGCCAACCACAACTTTTTCATTGTTCAGCCTTCTTAATGGAATTTTAGAACGTAAAGGATCTTGAAAAGAGAGAATTTCAAATTAAGCTTATATTTTTCGGTGGTTAGACTTTGTTGCAGTGGAACAAGATGGGGTACGAACCCCATCTTGTTCCTTAGTTCACTCTTGACAAGCTTCAATGCTAAAAGAACACGTCGGGCACTCGTGGTTGCTATTGACAAGATCAAAGCAAACTTCACAAACTTATAAATAGCACCATAAGTCTTGGACTTTTTTACTGTCATAAGTTTATTTGAAAAGTATGCTATCCCTGCTAATCTTGAAAATGAGGATGTAATTGCATATCCTTAATAAAGTTAGCAAATTGATGAATGTCGTCATCCTCAACTACTTCCCATCATCAAAACCCACAAAGTTAGAGGCATGACTTAAACATGCAACAACATGATATAACTCAATATTTTCCACATCAAATCTAGCAAGCATTAAACTCCTTTAGTTACAAATCTCATCATAATCATCAGTACCCCAGTGCCGCAAAGGTTCCCACCTACGCTAGGGTAAGGGGAGGTCGGATGTACGCAGTCTTACCCCTATACTAAAGCACAAATACCGTTTCCGGATGACCCATACTGAAAATCGCATCGAGAATTGCATGGATTGACTGCTACTTCATAACAAAGAAGCGCGGACGGTTTAGTGAGTCATTTTGCTTTATTTCATCATATTTCCAAGCCAAAAAATAGTGAGTCTTTGACTCCATTGAAAATGATAGAAAAAAGTTACATTTGTTGTACTATAAAAAAGTCTTGTAATGTTGCAAATTTATAACAAAAGAAGTTCGATGGTAGAACCTTTTTGAATGGCCATCTGTTGCCTCTCATCATTTGGAGTCTTCCTTGACATATCTTAACGTTTTTGCAACTAGTTCGTCACTCACAACACATCCATTAGTGATGAACTAGTTGCAAAGAGGAATTACTGACGAATTAGTGCAGATCACTTAACAATTCCTTGTTAATAAAAAAACATCATCAGTCATTATTTCAAAGACACTACTTACAGGAACAAACAAAGTCATCAAACCAATAAAGTCCTCTAGTGCAACGTCTAGCATGTATCACTACCCTTGCAAGAGCTTACTGTTGATTCAAACTTGTCCCAAATTGTACCAAACGTAACACAACTATCTCAAGCAAATAGGCATGTGTTTGTCCCAAAACAACTCTCGTCTTTTGTTAGATCATCCAATTATATTGGCATCACTATTAATCAGATCTAAAAAGTATCACATTAATTCGATATTTCACACTAGCAACAAGAGCCAATTGGAACTGGTGATTGAAACAATACACATAGAAGCAGAGATATTCTCCTTTTGAATAAATATTTTGAACTTATTAAGCCCGCCACTCATATTACTTGTTCCATCATACACTTGACCTCGAATCTTGAACAAACTCAATTCATTAGAGGACAATATATCGAAAAGAGCCTCCTAACAAATAACAAATAGAGCATTATTCTATGACATGCAATGTCAAGAAAGCTTTTGACAACACAACCAGCATTATCAATAAACCACACAATAAGAGTCACTTAAACTTATCTAAACAATCACCCAACTCATCAAATAACACACCAAATACATCATTTCTAATTCACTACCAATATTAGAAGTGCTGGGCGTGGCAGCGCCCAGCACCATCGTGGCAGAGGATCTGGAGGTAGAGCCCTTGAGGAGAATTGACTAATCAAGGTATTTAAGGGTTTGAGGATTGGACTTTGGAGTGTGGAGGACAAAGCGGCAATGCAAAGTCACTTACTAGATTTCAATTTTGTAAACCATCCAAAATGACATCATTTTGATTAAAAATTTGAAGTTTTTCTTGAACTATATGAGGTCCACCCCTGGTTGTATGATCTCCCCCTACCTATTATTTTCGTACTCAAATCTCAAAGGATATGCCCTTGAAAGAAACAAATCATACTTATAGGAAGGAAAGGTTGAAGACTGGGAAAAGAATGCACCAAGCATGCGGATAATGATGTTTTTAATGGGACTAAGATTTTCTACTTTAGTCTTGTGACTCTTGTCTGATCTAGTCTATTTAAATCTAGTGTAGCCTGGTCTGGTCTATTGATGCATAGTTTGATTCTCAATATTTGCGTGAAATCAAGATCAAGGTGATTGATGATTCCCTCACTGCCATAAATTCTCCAGTTCCCTTGGATGATCTCCTTCAATGCACTATCTTGGGATTAGGTCCAGAATATGAATCTCTCGTCACCACAGTCAGCCTGGAGGTCTCGCTTTTGACAACCTGCGCACCAAGCTGGTAACGCATGCACAGTGAATCCTTCACCTTCGCAATCAGGGTCAAGCTATGCTTTCTCTCTTCATCACCGCTATTTCTTTGCTGAAACACCATTTTCCAAACACCCCCTATATATACCAGACTACTTGTTTAGAATATATGTTCTGAATATTATTTCATCTTATTATACCATCTATAACTCTATATCTTCTCATTAACATTTCATAATTTCATTGTATAAAAACTTCATATAATCTAACTCATTTAATAGTTTCATACACTATGCCTTCTGCTTTAATATGTAGTTATGTAATCTTTATCATTTTGTATTGACATTGTTGTTTATAGGATATGGAAGGTGGAACTTCAAGTGCCGCCCTTGGTCCTGAAAATGTAAAATCAGCACAAACAGATCCCGCTTGGTGTTTTCTTTTTGTGAACCGACTTTATTTTGGTGAATCATGACTTTGTTTTTAAGAAACATGAGTTTTTAATGCATTAAGTTAAATATGATGTTGAATATGTCATGTTTGGTCATTCTAGAATAGTATACATAATATTTTATAAATAATGTGCTTGGCATGAGTAAGGCGAGCACTTTTTGCACCTTGCGCCTCAGGCGATATGAGTACTCTAGCGCCGTGAGTGCGTCTCAGGCGATATGAGTACTCTAGCACCGTGAGTGCGCCTCAGCGACTTTGACTACCTTGGTTTGGAGAGCAGGAGAGCACACATCCCCATAAGAGATTGGTGCATTTTTTAGATAGAATCTGCACCTTACTAAGCTAAACAATGCTAGTCAACATAACGACCACAATTATATAATTGTAGAAAGAAAAACCAAACACATAACGAGAGAAAAACAAACCCCGAAGCAATAATTACACAAAAGTAGGCTCCCAAATCACACACCATATTTATATTAAACTATTCTTAATATAAATTCCTTTATGCAACCAACCATAATCAAATTAAAAGGAGAACTGGAGAAAGTTTAAAAAATATTACCTGGACAAGTTTGAAGCAGTTTGGAGAAGATTGAAGAGGATGGAGGTTTGGAAGAAAATCTTTGTTTTCTCTTTTCTGGCTTTTCCTTGGTGAAGCATTGCACCTTTAGAACTTCACACAATTTTTCCGTCATATACCACTGATTTACCCTCAAAAGGAATTTCTATCGAGAGAACATTTTGCTGAGTAAACATATTTAGCAGGCTTTTGAAATCAGAAGCTGAAGTTTAGGGTGGGTTTTCTTAGAATTTTAAATCAGCTTCACAATTAATAGAGACATTTGGATTGGAGAAGGTTCCTTTCTTCTTTTTACCTCAATCTCTAATCTGTATCTTTGGCAATCCACTAATCTCCATTGGACATTTGGACTATTGAATATGCTCAAAAGAGATCTAAATGATCTCAACAGTCAAGAAAAGTACCGCACACAGACAGCACCCTAACCCCGACCAACACTGCCACCGCCACTCCTCTTCATATTTGAGGCAGCATTAATTGTCCACTTGGTTGAAACCTTTCTCTAGTAGCTACTGTCCATGTTTCTCAGATATATATAAAAGATACATTTCAGATTCAAAGAAGATAGACATTCCAGTACTTTACCAGTAGTCATTACAAGAACACTCTCCTCCTTTGAAATGATGGAACCTATTCCTATCCCTTACAATGATTTCTCGATCGTAGAGTTTCGATACTAGCTTGCTAGCTCTGTGACAGTCTCTACAAACTCTCAGGTTTTTAGTGATCCGAATAATTTCACCAGGTTTAGTCTTCAACAATCCAAACCCAATTGCCAATTTCTCACTATGGTAGTTCGTTGTTGGGTTTCCCATTTCCTCCTCTTCACTGATACCAAGTAACACACCATCTGTTTCATCAGGTACATAGCCTTCAGATCTAATTCTGTTGAGCATTTCATTAACTTTAGCATATATTTCCTGGGCTTGAGGATGAGTTATTCCTCCTGCAATGAACTCATCAACCAGACCTCCCTCCACTTCAATCATCGAGTAGCCTGGAGACTTTTTCACCCCTCTGTCATTCATCAACTTTCTCACTTCAGCAACATCTTCCCATCTACCAGCATTGGCATATAGATTAGCCAGCAAAATGTAGCGGCCACTATTGTGAGGATCCAACTCAATCACTGTCCGACCGAACTGCTCACCTAAATCGATGTCATTGTGGATTGTACATGCACCAAGAAGGGCACCCATGACACCTACATTTGGACTGCTCATAGAAGGCATTTGCTCTATAACTCTGCTTGCTTCCTTTAGTAATCCGGCTCTTCCGAACATATCAACCAAACATCCATAATGCTCAACCCTGGGCTCAATCTTGTAGGTTTTGTTCATATAATCAAAGTAAAACTTCCCTTCTTCAATCAAACCTGAATGAGAACATGCACTGAGTACGTTCACAAAGGTAACATAATCAGGAACCACCCCCTTCCTTTCCATTACTTTGAAAAGATCAATTGCTTCCTTTCCTCTACCATGCACTGCAAACCCTCCAATCATGCAATTCCAAGAAGATATCCCTTTCCTTGGCAGAACATTAAAAAAATTAAATGCCTTACCTAAACATCCACACTTGCAGTACATATCAATGATCTTTGTAGCCAACTTGGAGTCATCCACGACGTTAATGTTGCTTTTATTAATGTGTTCCACGATCCATTCCCCTTGCTTTAAAGCTCCTAGTCCTCCACAGGCTGACAAAATGCTTGCAGCAACAAACTTATCAGCCGGCACACCCTCAGCTCGCATTCTCTCAAATAAAGCAAATGCCTCATGAAATCTGTCATTCTTGACATATGCTGAAATCATGGCATTCCAACAAACAGAGTTCTTCTTTATCTCTGGTATTGACTCAAAAACACTTGAAGCTTCGTCAACATGCCCCCACTGTGCATACCCACTTATCAATGTTGTACATGCAACATCATCTTTGCAAGGCAACCCATCAAACACCTTCCTGGCTTCTCCCATGCAGTTGAAATTTCCATACATATGAATCAGATTATTCTGAGAAAATCCATCAGACCCAAAACCAAACTTTATCACATGACCGTGTATCTGCTTTCCTTCTCCAGTCATATTGGAGAGAGACCAGCATCGGATTAGCGGAGGGAAAGTGAAGCTATTAGGCCAGACTGAGGTCGTCAACATCTGGGAGTAAAAAACAATTGCACTTTTAGGAAGCCCTCTTTTTAAGTACCCTCTGATAATAGTGTTATATATGAAGGTGTCTGGTTCAGGCAGAGTGTCAAACACTTTAAGGGCATAGTTTAAGTCTCCTGATTCAGAAATAGCACAGAACTTGATAACTCTGCCCATTGCATTGTTATCACTTGAAAGACCAAGCTTTATGGTTTGTGCATGGACCTCATTAAGCTCCGCCATTGTTGAGCATGATTCGACTTCCTTATAGGGCATTGATTTGGAGGTAATGGTAGTGGCTGCGGGTGGTAAAGTGTTGGAGACGGAGTGAAGCACCGTCGCCATATATAATCTCGTCTCCCTGTTTTAATGGGTAATTTATGTAATATCACTGTTTGATCCCGACAAAAAACTAACTTCACCTATTGAGCTAGGAATAAAAGGTTAAAGTTAAAAACAGCAGCTCCTTGGAAGAAGAAGATGTGAGGCCGACCAACTTCCTAGACAGATAAACAGATTGCGAGATGGGAGTTGTTGAAGAAATCTTATGTGAAGTCTTTTTGCCTCGAGGCTGTGGATGAGTGGATGACTCTGGTACTAACATCTTGATAATTAATGGCCGCAGGAGTTACTGGTTCTGGTGTGATTAATTGAGGAAAGGCATCAACTTTAGAGTTTAGATATCTTTAATCTTTATAACCCATGATGCAGTAGAGTTTACTCATTAATCCTCACATCTTATGTGACCCAATAACCCTACGGACCCACAATTATAGTTCATACTCCCTCCGTCCCAATTTGTTTTGCAAAATTTCCTATTTTGGTTGTCCCAAAATAGTTTTCAACTTTCTATTTTAGGTAAGTAAATAAGAATAAAGTGACAAATTTACCCTTACTTTTACTTTTTTCTCATTAACTTAAAGACATCTACTTTTAGAAAGATGGACAAAAGTGTAAAAAGCAAGCATCATTTATTGCAATTCCTTAATCCTTGTGCCGGTCAAAGTTTGCAATTCAATTCAGGACGGAAGGAGTATGAAATTTTTAAGAAAAAATTGTCAAATAAATTCTCGTGCTTTCAAAAAAAAGTCAATGATGTTTCTTGAATCAATCAAGTTCCATAAAATCACCAAATCCCCTATTTGAGCCGTAAGCATCCGGTGGCTCAATTACCCGGTGATGTGGATGTCCAAGTGCCATTTTTTACTTTTTTTATATTCTTTCCTTTCTTTTTTTCTTTTTTTCTTTTTTGTTTCTCCTTCTTTCTCTTTCTTTTTCCTTTTTTGTTTCTTTCTTCTCTCCTGAAAAAAGAAAAGAGAAACAGGGGAAAACGGAAAAAATTGCCACATTGGACATCCAAGTCAGCAATAACCCGCACTACTTGTTGCCAACTGGCTAAATAGCTAATTTGATCATTTTTAACATTTTGTGGACTTGATTGATTTACTAAAAAGAACAAGGACTCAGTTGACTCTTTCGTAAAAGTAGATTAATTTATTTGACAATTTTCTCAATTTTGTATTGGAACGAAATTTTCTATTTTAATCTGATTTTATTACTTTGATCTGATCTAATTTGATAGATGTTTAGTTTCTTGTATTTTGTATTTATCTAAATCTTATCTTATTTGATCGCTTTGGTATAATCTAGTTTGTGATTAAATATAATCTAAATAAAAACATCCTGATTCGGATCAAGATGGATCTGAGTTTGAGTCACGTCGTTATGTTTCGAGTACAGTTAATTCATGTAATCATGTGTCATCCCTCTACAAATTAAAAGATGTCACATAAATTCGTTCAATAATATAGTAGAAATAATTTGATTATGTTTGAATATAGGTTTGTTTACATGACCTCATATTTATATCCGATCATTTAAATGCGTATAACTTATGGGAAGGCATGTAACTGTATTAAATGAGTACTCCTTCTGTGACAAAAATGTTTCTATTTCAAAGGTAGGTAGTTCAGAAGCTCGTTCCGTGACTCTATTTTTCGGCTTATCACACTTATCAACCAACTTTTAACCAAACACATAATTTTGGATTTTGCGTTCTGAATTGTGTAATAATAAGAAAAAGTATGGTTGAAGTTATTTTAACAGCTTTATTGGATGAAGTTACTCGAATGACTATTTTAGAATTTTTTTCATATGATTTTTTCTTTATTTTATTAGTGAAATATATTTTAAATATAATTTTTTCATAAATCAACCAATAAAGCCACTTCAACCAGAATTTCGTGAATTTCAGCAGGATCAGCCGATTCAACAAATTTCACTGTTACCAAATAGACTCTAAGAATAGTGAAAGAGAATACCGGGGTATAAATTATTGAAGGTGTGATGGGAAGATAGTTGAATAATTTGATGGAATGAAGGATAAATCCAAAAAAATAGTTGCAATATTGATTTAATTTTAAAATTGTTGAGGGTATGATGGGAAGATTTAGAAATTAGAAGACTTTTTAGTGATTTTGGGTGAGAGTTTTTGCCTTCGTTTTTAATGGACTTCAAGTCTAAAAAATGACGAGGGCTATCGTGTGGAGGGCCTCTCTTCATCACTGCTATATCATCACCAGAGGCCGCACTATCAGAGTTATCATCTGAAGACCCACTAGAAGAATTGGTGGAACGATCATCTTCAGAACCAGTAGTAGAGGGGGCATCTTCGGCAACATTCTCTGCAACGGTGTCAGTACCCATGGTATCGGCCAAAGTAGCATTCATCTCTGAATCCCGACCCGGTTCAACAATTGAAGGCTCGGAAGATCCAGACCTCGTCGACATTTATACCGAACCAAAAAACAGAAATATAAAGAAGATAGAGGACCGACGATTACCTGAGCGAAGAACAAAATTAGGCATTTGGGGAGAAGGCAGATTGCTTGAACGAAGATAAAGAATTCGGAAACCCTGGGGTAAAGGCCCAAAAACCACCTTTATACTAAGAGGCGCCGAATCACGGACCAATCTGAGGGGGCACGTAGCGAGAAACATTTCAGAGGACACGTGTCGAACAGATGCGAAATGACGGGTAATCATGACGATTTTATGGGGAACATAAGCAACTGCCGTCAAAGAAGCTTGAACCGTCACATCAGGAGCAGGCACACCAGTAAGGGGTCCTGCACGGGTTACTCTGAACGGCGGAAAGATTGTTGTACTTCCTTATGTCCCAAGCACGCTCGGAACATAAGGGAGTGGGGGACTTGTGATAGGATATTGAGGTCCGGCCCAATATGATGGCCCAAAATATCCTTAAAAGCCAAGGCACCAAGGAAAGCCCAGAGGTCATAGATCCTGAACGGGAGTTCGGCTCATTCTTAAGGCCCGAAATACAAAGGACAGTCCAGAAGAAACCGTTCGGGCCCAACGGTCTGCTTAAAGGCAAGGCCCGTTCGGCACCACCCGAACGGGATGTAACCGACTGCAGTTAATGCTGGATCATGGGGATCTCAAGTGGCTTGGAAAGCAACCAATCATATAAGGATGCTCCATGTTTCCATATAGTATAAATAGCAGTTGTTAAATCATTGTAAAGGGTTGGATTTCATTAACTCACAAACTTATATCGTATCACAGCTCTCGTATTAGTCTTTGAATCACAATTACCATTCGGTCATTTCTGTGTAATCATTGTTATCATATTAATACAAGTTGAGTTATTTAGATAGTTAAATCAGATTTTATATTTCCTTTTATACACATTATTGTAGCAACTTAACCCAAGATCCAAGGTTAGTGTTGGACCTTCAGGTCATTCGGGATTAAACCACAACAATAATAATAAAAATAATAATTAGGGGCGTGCACTATCCGGTTTTAACCGGAAAACCGGACCGAACCAGACCGGGAAAACCGGAAACGGATCGAATTGGAATGATATCCAGTTCGGTTCGGTTCGGTTCGGTCCGGTCCGGTTTTGAACCGGTGCACACCCCTAATAATAATAATAATAATAATAATAATAATAATAAAATATGGTCTGGTCTAGTCTGGTCTGGTCTGTTTTAATCTGGTTTGCTCTGGTCTGATCTGTTTTGGTCTGGTCTGGGACGAATTACAGTCCAAGTAAAAACAACCCTAGCCTTCTTTCATCTTCATAACTACTTATCTTTATGGAATGTCTCCTCTCTATCTGTCAGATTTGGATTATAGTCCAATTTACATCCTCTCAATGTACGGTCCGATCAGGATTGAGGCCCTCAGGGATGGAGGGACGGGGCGTCATCTTTATTTTTCCTTTATGGAATGTTCATATCTACGAGCAACATAACAATGTCAAAGAAATTTGTGTTGGGACTTTATATTTTTTGATTGTAACTTTATGTATTGTGTACAACTCACTTCCAAAGTTTGGAAAAATTTATTATTTGAAAAAGTATTGAAGAAAAAGTTTTGTCAAATCAAAGCCAAAATTAGTTGAAAGTAACTTTATGTATTGTGTAGAGGAGAAGATAGCTCCAAAGCTGAAGAAACGAAAGTGGATCAAGAAGCAATAAAGGGTCCACAACCAGAACTAGAAGTGGGTTTTTATTGTCATTAAATAGTTGTTATTATTCCGCAATTAACAATGTATTTGAATAATACTTTAGTGCAGGGCCGTTAATGGCAGAATCTAGGATTATGCAGAAGAGTATTCTGACTATGCAAACAGTTCCTTCATTTTCTATTTCAGTAGTTCCAATTATTTTCCATTTTCTATTTACCACAAGAACAACAAGCTGCATCATCTAAATTTATGGTCCTCTTTCATATATATCATAAATATTTATAAATGTATACATTCAAGAAACGCCCTGCTTTGATGTTAATTTGCTTTTATATATAAATAAATAGCTAAAAAAACTAACTAGAATCAGGAATAAGCCAAAAGGGAGGTGGTGTGAACTTCTGCAGATGAAAATCAAGAAAATGCTCGAAAGTATTATCCTTCAAACAGAATACTCCCATATCATGGCCTCCATACGAGTAATCCTCATCGACCCTGTCCCAATAATCATCTGTGAAGTAAATACAGTCAGGTTTGCGGTTCGGATGATCCGACCCGAGCAGAGAAACCGAATGGTTCCCTCCCAGAAACACCACCCGACCGTTCAAGGTTTTCACTGGCTCCCATGTTTCTGTCCACATGTCCAGCTTATAAACACGGAAGCCCATTGTTCTGTAAGGACAGATCATCATATCCCCGTCTTCATACATAGCTTCCTCATATACAACTTTACCTTCCTCAGTAACAAACTCTCCAATGTGTCTAACCACAAAGAACATCTCTCCAGATTTGAAAGGGATTATATACCACTTTCTTGCGTAAAGATCTGCTGGGAATTCTTCCCTGTCATCAAACAACCCTCTGGGAAGTGGCGGATGGATGACTCCCGTTTTCTTTAAAGAAGAAGAATCCCATCTTTCAACTGATAATCTTTTCCCCAAAGCATACATCATACCATTCAAACAAGTGATGTCATAGCAGGGCCCACATTGGCCTCCTAAGTTCCTCCAATCCTTGTCCCCATTCCTGCAATATGCAACTTTATCATCTTCTCCATATAAAACAAAGACCACGAAATCTTTGTTTGTGCTAGGATTTGCGGAAAGGACAGCTTTCTTGATTGAAAGAAGGGGTCTTTTGTCTTCCATGGGAGTGAAAACTCGTGCAGCAGAAGAACCTTTGTATTCGACGGTCAGGTGTTCTTCTTCTTGGCCGGAGAAAGAATGAGTCTTGATGGAGGTGATGTGGGGAAAAGTGCTTTTCTTTGGGAGTTGGATTTTGGTTTGATCGAAGGGGTTCAGAAGAAAAGGTTCTGAGGTGGTTTCGTCCAAGAGGATGAGCCATCCATAGGAGGAACCTATGGGAATGGTTTTCTTCAAGTTCTGGCGGAGTACATTGTTATGCATGAATGAGGTTGTCTCCTCCAATGGAAGCAATAGAACTGGAGAAGAAGAACAGGCCAATGGTGCCATATTTTTATGATGGATTGACTAGGAAGAAGTTGTACGGGCGCGAATGCTGTATTTGTTAGGGACGGAGGGTTTATATAAGGTTAAGGAAAAAGAATTCAATTAGGATAGAGATAAGTCGTGGGGCTATTAATTGCAATCAAGGGAATCGGGGAAAAGCATAGATACGGAATGCATCTCTAACTGCGGGTTTCCTAATAATGTACGTAGTACCGCTGACTACCGCGCAAGAGCTTTTATTAGTACGGAGTAGAAAATAATTGGAAACATTCCCACACCGGTAACTTTAAAAATATTCACTTCCTTATTTGGTAGAGTTAATTATCAAAATAGGACTAAAAGTCATTCACTTTTCACAAATAGGACCAAAAAATAAACTATGTTTGCATATAACTAATTATGTGTACCTTGGACAATTATACCCTTATAGCTATTAAAATGTTTTAATTCCTAATAAAATAAAATAAAATAATAAAAATTCGTAAAAAATACTAAAAAATTAAGAAAAACATTTCGATATTAAAAATTTAATTAATTTTTTTTTCAAAAAATTAAAAAAATTAAAAAAAAATTAAAAAAAAATAAAAACTCAAAAAAAAATCGCCGCCATCTCTGCTGCCTCTGCACCACCACCTCCAGTCACCAGGGAAAAAAAATGTCAAGTTCATTACGAATGCCATATTTATGGCAGAAAAAAATGAAAATGTTGCCATTCGAAAAGAGAAATATGCCACTTTTTTGGCATTTTCAGAAAAAAATGGCATTTTTCTGGGAAAATGGCATTTTTTTCATCGGCCGGAGGTGGTGGTGCTGGGAGGTAGTACAGGCAGTGGGAAAGGCATCCATATTTTTTTAAATTTTTTTTACGGAGTTTTACTATTTTTTATTAATTTTTTTAAAAATAAAATTATTTAAAAAAAAAAAGTTTTTGAATTTTTTATTTTATAAAAATTTTATAAAATTTTTAATTATATTTCTACGAATTTTTGAATTTTTTTCGAATTTATTATGAATTAAGCATTTAATTATGGCTTTTGACTATTTTTAATTCATATTTAATGGAAGGATAAGAATGGAATGCAAAAATAGGTATGTTTCCAATAGGACTCATATGGTCCTATTTTGGAATAAAAACATAGCAAGTCCTATTTTAGGTTTTTGCCATAGTTTTAATCCTATTTGAACTAATTTCTATATTTGGTATATAACTCGGAACCGGTGCCATCTCCAAACTCACGCAGCCACCAGATGCACACATAGCGAACTAATTTTGGAGGGTCTCCATGCAATTGGACCCCAACAATCCCAGTCCAACTTTTGAGCAACTTCTTATGTTTAAATTTATTTTGTTGAGTGAGAAATTTATTCTTTAGAAATTGTTTTAAATATGAGCAAAAATGTTTTTCACTTTTTAATTTTAAACTAGGAGTATTATGTTTTTTTAAATACATCAATATCTTTATTGTTGCACCATGAATTAATAAGAATTACTCCTTACTAGATACGAAGTTATTAATAGTAATAATCTCAACTATTGATTATTTCAAAATAATCCTAAATTTAAGGGTCTTCCGCTAAAAATGATGTTAGAACCCCACTTAGTGAAAGGCATATGCATACTAAATAAATTACTCACATTTTATCTTAGAAATGATGTTAGAACCCCATTTAGTGAAAGGCATATGCATACTAAATAAATTACTCACATTTTATCTTAGAATTTTGTTTAAATAATGTTTGATTGTAAGAATGTTTTTACCTTTTTGGTCAAGATTATTACTCCCTCTAGTACTTATTAAAATTCCCAGTTTGACTTCACACATATTAAGAAAATGAATTTGACTTTACTATGGAGTGCACTGTTTGGCACTGTTTGGACACTGTTTGGCACTATTTTGCATTGTTTTGTTTCCTAAAATGGAAGTGTGAATTTAAATAAGAGACATCCAAAAAAGAAGTGAGAAGTTTAATAAGAACGGGAGAGAGTAGTTTAATTTTATGGAGAGAGATACAGAGTCAACGCGATAGAAAGAAGGAAAGACCACTGGTAGAACGTGGACTCCTAGCCTTCTTTCATCTTCATATCTACAAGCAACATAACAATGTCAAAGAAATTTGTGTTGAGACTTGTCTTCTTCAGAACAAAAACATTTAGTTTTGTTCCAAAAATTAGACAGCAAAAATGGAATTGGCGATGGGTTTGAAGAGCGGGTTCACAATATTGGGGTGTGTAATTACAGCAACGGTCATCTACACCGTCATCAGCGACGGTCTTCCTTTCCGCATCGAACTCCTTACTCCGTATGTTCTCTTCTCTCCTCATTTTTTTATTCAGACTAGATTGAAATTTGGTTTTTCCAGAATTGTCTTTGTAGCTGGTGTGAAGTCAAAAAATAAAGACGCCTGTTTCTAACACCTGAAATGTTTACATTGTAACCTATGATTTTTAACAACTAATATTTGTTTAAACCTATTTTCATATAGGTCTCCATTTTTTGTTTTTCATACCCTTTTGCTGATAGAACATAATAAAGTTTTCCTGAAAACCTATTTTCATAAGCTTTTTGCATATAAAACTTTGAAGCTTTTCTTATAAAACTTAAATTTTGCTCTTCTTCAGACGAAACAAGTTCTTTCCAAACCCCTTTGCAGGAAATTTTATCAAACGAAATTTGGTTCTGATTAATCTATTTCGACAATAATTGACTAAAGTTATTAAGATAGCAGAAAAAATTGATCAATTTTTAAAAGTAATTGATTGTACGTGTAATCCATTATTGGAATAATCTATTTTTTTTACTATCACAGTAATGATTTATTGTCTTAATGAAAATTATTTTAAGTTAATAAATATGATACCTTCACACCCTATAGATATCTCTGTATTAAAAATAATGAGTAGAAAATAGAAATGGAATAATTTTGTGAAGGAAAATAAATATGGTGATTTGGTCACCCATTTATGAACAAAATACATTTAGTTAATATAAACTCTTAAGTGGGGGGGGGGGGGGGGGGGGGAGTATGCTGCATAAAATTCTTTCTTATGATGACAGTCTGCCAAAGAACTTAGAAGGTGTCGTAGAGGGTATATGGTTCATGATGTGCGTGTGGCGTAAAATAATTTTATTTTTATCGAAATTGAAAACATAAATCTTTTATTTTAGTTTCAAATATATACGGAGTATGTTTTTTGCAATTCTGCGGTTGGGGTCTCTGTTTGGGACTTTGGGTCAATGGGTCCTGTTAAAAGAGATGGCAGATGCTGAAATAATTTTATATATACTATGTGCAACGAATGAATGGTTTGGAAGAGAATAGTTCCTTACATGTTTGGATTTTTATAGGTGGATGGCTGTAACATTGATTGATTTTTACATCAACACCTTTGCAATTGGGGTATGAAAGACCAGAGCCATCTTCTACTTCTTTTAAGTTATTACTACGTATTATTATTTTAGATCATTGTGTGTTTCTGGTTGGAAAAATATTAAAAATCCATTTATACTTTCTAGGATTTGGACTTGTAATGTGGACACGAATACACAACACTATTAAGACTTTGGGTGGTTAATAATTACACAATACTATTGCTTTTATACTTGGTCGGTGTGCAATAAATATTTGAACACGCCCTTTTACTGAAATAGATTTGGATAATTTGAGGTAGATAAATGAGTCCAACAGATACTTAGTGGGTTAACTAAATCTTGTGTGCCTAACAAACAAGCTGCAATTGGATCAGACTCTCATTTAGTTCATTTAGTTTAATCAAACTGGAAGCTTGACTGGTCTATAACAATTACTTCAACAAACACCGATAGGCCTTAACCCGTGTCTACAAAAAAAAAACTATTATCAGGCTTGGGTTGTGTACAAGGAAACAAGCTGGACCTTTGCTGTTCTCTGGGTTGCTCTACTTATATGCTGGGGAAGGTATAGTTTATAAATAGGTGTAATTGGTCAAGTTATAAATAAATGAATATAAAATGGCTCACTAAACTGTCTGCGCTTCTTTGTTATGGAGCAGCAGTCAGTCCATGCAATTTTGGACGCGATTTTCACTATGGGTCATCTGGAAACAGTCTCTCTGTGCTTTAGTACAGGGGTAAGACTGCGTACATCCGACCCCCCCTTACCCCACCGTAGGTGGGAGCCTTTGCGGCACTGGGGTAAATGAAAATGATGAAAATGATTTAACAATGGTTTAACCTTCTCATTCTTCTCTTTACAGCATTACAACATGCAGCTATATTGTCTTGCAGCTCCTTAAACTCTCACCTAAAGAATCAATGCAAGATCCAATTTACTATGTTTTGCTACGCCGTGGGAAAACGTGAGTTTTAACAATGATATATATGGAATGTATCAACAAATGTGGAATTTATGAAATTACGAAGGAGTTATTCAAGTTCCATTGTTTATTTGCTATCGGAATGTGAGTAGGGATATATCCAAGTTTCAAGTTTTACTCCCCAGTAAGGAGTAAGTTGTAAAAATATATCCACTCTGTTTGCAATTGTTCTTCGCATTTGTTTCTTTACACAGGAAATCAGAATGTGAAATTATGTGGTTATGATTTGTTTAGAAAGTAGATAAGTAATATCAAAACACAATTCTTCCATTAAAAGGAAATTGGGAAGTAGCAAGAGCATTTAAACATGGATGGGGTGTGAATAGGTCTTCTCCTTAAAACAATTCTTTTAGGGAGGGTTTCTTCTGGGCTTTTGGAGGTTTTCCCGAAGCTCTTGTATGTCTTTTGTGCCTTTATTTTTTTCTGTTCTTTACTCGCTATGAAACAATCACCTGATGTGGTGTTACTGCTGACTAAGGAAAAAGAAATATGTATTTTGTTGCATATACCCCTTTCACATATAAAAGGAGGCCTTTTTAAAAAACTCTTTTTGCTAAGAAATGCTATTGCATCAAAATGACTTCGAAGAGCATTGCATTAACAAAATTTACAAGTTGTACGTTGCCACATAAGACTTTTTATAGATGGCTAGAAGGAATATATTTTAATATTTCCATGAGCTTTAATGTTTTGAATTTATCAATTTACACATTGCTCACTACTGCTCTGGGATTAAGGCTTGGATGTTGTTGTACACGTTGCTCACTACTGCTCTGGTATTATTCATTTATATATGTATTTATTTAGGAACAGAGCAGAAAGTAATAAAAAGTTCCCTGTTGGAATTGCAAAAGCTGTGTTCATTGCTTTGGGCTGTCTAATGTTAGGAGCATTGATCTACACCATTGTCACAGATGGATCTCCCTTTCGCAGAGAATTATACACACCGTAAGCAGTTTCCATACCATCCCCTATATGTTAACTATCAACTACTACAATAACTGTCATGTTAAGGCTATATCTATGACACTCATCATAAACTTGTTACATCATCCTTGATACTTTCTCTATCTAAATCTGTTTAATGTCTACTAATATATCTGTGCAGGTGGGTATCTGCAACATTAGTTGATTTATACATTAGTATTGTGGTTCTTTCGGTACGTATATATTTTATAGAGGTTTAAAGTCATTTAAGGTTTCTTGGTACAATGTATTGTGGTACAAATGTATTGAACTAGTAATGAAATAAAAATGCAATGTAATGGAATCTCCGTCCCTTTGATATGCTCAGTTATTTATGCAATGACAAGTAATGGCCATAAGATTATGATGTATTGTTTAAAGTCACTTAATCAACAGGTCTGGGTTTCATACAAAGAGTCGAGTTGGATAAGTGCTGCTTCTTGGATAGTTTTACTAGCATGTTTGGGAAGGTATTACTCTCCCCTCGTTTTTAAGATATCTAGTTCTTCATTACTCAATCCACCGTGATGCATGTCATGGCAGCTAGCATTTCATGGGGTTCCAAAATGCCGCCAATCTTATTTTCTGACATTCAATTCACTTACAAGCTGTTATATGTTTTGGGGCTTCAACAGCTTTAGCACGTGTATCTACGTTGTTGTACAGCTATTCCGCCTCTCTTCTCAAGATCCTGTCTACTATATTCTTTTCAAAGGTCGTAACAGGCAAGTCAAACTTGTTCCAGCGAAAGTAGAAGTATTAGAAACTGAACATGATATTCTGATAAGAGTAAAAACATCATCTAGTTGAATTTATAGTAATGTTTAAAGTGTATTTATACAAATATGCGGCGTTATAAGTTTATAGGTGTTTGAGGCTTACATAAGTGGGGGTATCGAATAGCGGTGGGAACCCTAAAATATTTTCTTGTTGTCATTATGGTAGGGCAGAAGATTAGAAGAAGGCAATGAAGAAACATTGAAAGAAGGCATAAGCGTGGAAGATACCTAGCTAGCGCTCTTGAGCTGATTTGGTAATGGAAATCCATACTCTTCTGGCTTTCCACTCAAATACCATTCAATGTTCTAATTTGGATTTTCAAATTTGGAATAATTTCACAGCTGGTTGCCAGGAAACGTCAATACTCAAATTATACATCAAAATTGGGGTATCCTTTATCAATTAACATTGTTAATTGAAATAATTAACATTACTATTTACTAGGCTAGAGAATGAAATCATCCACGAAACAGTATAGTACTATAGTTTGCTTCACTGTCCCAACCGTGAGTGTGTGACTCTCTGTAACGATATTCAATGTGAATCACTTGCACCTAGGGGTAGATTCGGGCCGGGGCCGGGCCGGGCTTAGGCCCGGTCGGGCCGTCGGTTCTAGAATAGTGGGCCCGGGACCGGCCCGAGGGTTGGACGGGTCCGGTTCGGGCCGGGCCACCCGCCCGGGTCACGGGTCGGGCCACCCGCCGGGCCGGGCCGGGCCGGGTAATTTTTTTTTTAAATTTATATTTTATACTTTATAGTTTTATACAAGTATTAAAAAACAAACTTCAAGTGCATTTATTTGAAATGAAATAGGAACTACATTTGAAAATTAAATAGGAACTATAATTGTTTTTAATCGGAATCTCCGGCATAAGTAGAGCCACCCTCTGTAGATTCATCCATAAAGTGTTGGGATGGAGTGATGTCAATTTCTTGAGCTCTATGTGCTGCTTTCAACCAATCGTGGTAGCATATAAGCATCTCAAGAGATTCAGCGCTCAACCTCGTTCTGGTTTGTGTTAGAACATTGCCGGCCGAACTAAATTCTTGTTCCACGGCAACCGTTGAAACCGGCATTGATAGCACTTGCTTAGCCATCTTTGCTAAAACCGGGAACATTCTTTCTTTTCCCTTCCACCAGTTTAGTACGTCAAAATCATCATCTTCTTCAAAATCAACATCATAAGTTAAATACAAAGAAATCTCATTAATTGTGCTTTGTTGTGTAGCGGGAGTTGATTTTGTTTTTTTAATAAGATTGGCAAATGTAGATTCGAAAATTGATTTTCCTTTAGATGATGTTTGTGTCGGGGGAGGGGGCGCATTGCCATATTGTGCATGAAGCTCATTGAATAATGCATAAAATATATCACTAATCTCGTTGTATTCTGTTTTTGGATCAATTGGGTTGTCCTCATACATTGGCAATGGACCAAAAAAAGCAGCATAATAATAATTCAAACATTCTTCTAAAGAACCAAGTCTAAAACGAGGATCGAGAACAAATGCAATACCATAAATATGCGGAATATGTGAATAATATTTTAAAAACTTTTCCTTCATAAAACCAGCAAAATAATTCACATAATCAGCATTCTCAAAATTTGAAAAAGCACCGGCGAGATTAACAGCTTCACGAATAAATTGGTTTGAGGTAGGTTTATAAACATGACTAAAAGTTTCAGTTGCATTATTAAAATATATCAAAGCATTACAAATTTTTTCACAGGTGTCGATCTCAGCCGAGTTTATAATATAGTTATCATATTGTTTCATAAAAGCAGGAAAATGTTGTTTATATCTAAGAAGAACTCCAATTAACTTATAGGTACTATTCCAACGAATAGACAAATCTTTTGGAAAAGCCACATATCTCTCACCTCTTTCTATCAAATAATCATGCCATTTTTTCCTAAGGTGTCCATTACCCCAAATACGTCTAATCCCCCCCTTGACTACCTCCAACGATGCTCCCAACGCTTTTAGACCATCTTGCACACATAAATTTAGAACATGACATGCACATCGTTGATGAAAAAATCTACCCATCAAAGAAGTAGAACCACACAATTCACGCAATCTAGGAATAGCAGCAGTATTATTAGTAGCATTATCAAAACCAATAGCAAACACCTTATCAATTAAATTATACTCAATTAAAATACGTTCAATCAAAATATAAATATGTTCAGCGGTGTGACGATCATTAAATTCACGGAAAGCAAGAACACGTTTATGCATATGCCAATCATTATCAATATAATGTACAGTCAGACCCAAATAATGTAAATTATGATAAGTATCCTCCCATATGTCAGAACATACAGTAACACGTCCATCAAAGTTTGCAAAATAATTTTGTAACCTTACCTTTTCCGCACAATAAAGCCTTGAAATTTCTTTCTTAACCGTTTTGCGACTATAACCTCTATATTGCGGATTTAAACAAGTTTGTGCATAATCACGAAAAGCAAGACTTTCAGAAAACAAATAAGGCAAATTTTCTTCAACAAGTAAGTTAGCCATACCTGTCAAATTTTGTGCATCATTGTATGAGAAATTACCAAAAGCTTGTTGGTTATTTGCAAACCTTGATATTTGCGTTTGCTTCCCCGTTCCGCCACCTAATTTTGCATACTCCACCGGGTGTTTGGACTTAAGGTGTCTTGTGGCGGATCCGTATCCGCCGGAAATCCCCAAGCTATAGTTTTTCTTGCACCAATTGCAAGTTGCGGTCCAATTCCCGGTGTTCGGGTCCTTCCACTTAGAAAAATTATTAGCCATTAATTCAGATTTACTTTTTTTTGTACCTGTTTGGGATGAGGCTGCTTGGTCGGCGTCATGGCTGCCGCCACCCTCCTCCTCCTCGTCGTCGTGGCTCTCCGGAATTGCTTCCTCCACATCGTCGTCCTCGTCCTCGAGCTCTTCTTCGTCAATGGTCCTCGGTTGGTCTTGAAAAAAGCGAGAATTATGTCGGTGCAATTCTTGTTCTAGTTGTTCGTCGGTCATCGCATCCCCATCCCTCCTTACGTAACCCGTATCAAAATCATCTTGACTTTGAGATGAAGAGCCGAGATGTGATTTACCTTTGCGGGATCTCTTCCTCGCAAGCTCGTTCGTTCGGTTGCGCTCGAGGTTACCCATATCAACCGAATATCAAGGACGATCCATCTAAAAAATGTAGCAATTAATAAAAAATTGTAAAAAACTAATTAAGTATTTATCTAACTATTAATTCGAGTTATAGCAAATTAAGTAGTGAATTAACTAGTTTTGTGTACAACATATTTTTTAAACTAGAGTCAAATGTAGCAATTAATAAAAAATTGTAAAAAACTAATTAAGTATTTATCTAACTATTAATTCGAGTTATAGCAAATTAAGTAGTGAATTAACTAGTTTTGTGTACAACATTATTTTTAAACTAGAGTCAAATGTAGCAATTAATAAAAAATTGTAAAAAACTAATTAAGTATTTATCTAACTATTAATTCGAGTTATAGCAAATTAAGTAGTGAATTAACTAGTTTTGTGTACAACATATTTTATAAACTAGAGTCAAATGTAGCAATTAATAAAAAATTGTAAAATAATAATTAACTATTTATCTAACTATTAATTCGAGTTATAGCAAATTAAGTAGTGAATTAACTAGTTTTGTGTACAACATATTTTTTAATAAAAAATTGTAATTCCAACTATATTAATAAAAAATCGTAATTCCAACTATATTAATAAAAAATCGTAATTCCAACTATACTAATTAACTAGTAATTAAACAAGTGTAAATAATAGAATAATTTCGTACCTCTTTCGGACTTTCGGTCTTTCGGATGGGAGTAATAGAATGACTTCAAATTAATTAGATATAATTCCAACTATATTAATAGATATAATAAATATATAAGTGATATATAATTAGATAACAAATATAAGTAATATAATACTATTTATATCTATTTATAATTTATATAAGTAGATAATTAATATAAACTATAAATAATAAATATAATATATTGGAGAATGGAGAATAAGAGAATTAGAGAGTAGAGAGTTAAGAATAGGATTTAGGAAGAATTGGAGAAGAGATATGAAAAAATGTTTAAGATTAGGAGTATTTATAGGTTTTTTTACCCCCCCCCCCCACCCCCCACCACCCAACCCCCCCCGGACCCCCCCAATAACCCACCCAACGGCTATATAGCCGTTTGGGTTGTCCCCAGCCCCACCCCCAACGGCTAGTAGGAGCCCAACCCAAAAAAACTTTTTTTTTTAAAAAATTGATCGAACCGGACCCGGGGCCGGGTCACAAAAAAGCTGAACCGAGCCCGCCCCGCCCCTTCCCCCCGGTTCGGGCCCAGACCCGGTCCCGGACCGCCCGACCGGGCCGGTCCCGGGCCCGCACAGTACCGGGCCGGGCCGGGTCACGGGCCGGGTGCAATTCCAGTATATAAGTTTGCAATAAATAAATCAAGTACTTTGTGGTCTAATAAATCATTGTGGTCCTACCAAAGAAGATGTTACAAGTTTAAGCTTTATCTCAATGAAGAATGTCTACATTTATTGTTAGACCATATATTATACGAAGTAATAAATTAGCAGTACATTTCAATTTCTTTGCAAAAAAAGGATGACACCCCATCTCTGAGGGCCCCCCAACCCCGACCGGACGATACGTTGGGAGGATGTAAATTGGACTATAATATCAATCTGACAGATCAAGAGTGGGGTTCTGTCCCCGGTACTTACAGAGGCCCTATGCATTTTGACATAGTAACCCCTCATCGCAGTTGACGGGATTCGAACCCAGGACCTAATCTTTGTGGCACTCCCTCGCTACCAGTTGAGCTACGCCCACCGGTCAATTTCTTTGCAATACATTCCAGCTCTGTGGTGATGCTTCTGCCCTCCAAACCCTTGCTAGGCATTGGTGGATTGCTCCTCATGCCTCATTAACTCTAAGGAAACTGAGTTTACATATAAAGTTAAATAAATTTCCTCCAAAGCAAGTGTGTACCTAGAGAAAATTGCTTTTGGTAGAATCAAAGCATAGCATTCTTTCAAAAATAGGACTATATGTTTGGTTTTCCTTAAATAAGACTAATCATTTCATTTCTACTCATAATTTATTTAATCAATTAATTGCCCTCCTAGTTCCCTTGCACAACGAACGTCGGTCCGTTGGTGCTGGATCAATCTGTCGTGTTGATGGCTGGGAATACGGTGATAGAGAGCAGGAACTCAGCTGGCCGCGGACCGTTTAATTATTTTTAGTCTTTTATATTTTTCCTGATTTGTTTCCTAATTGGAGTTAATTAGGATATCTATTATTTTGTTTCCTATTTGGAATTAGTAGAAGGGTATTTAAACACTAATTAGGGTTCACTCTGGTTTATTACTACTTTTGTCCCCTAATATTGGGATGGAAGGGAATGGTGTGATTTTTAAAAAAAGTAGTAGGGAAAATCACACTTTTACTCCTTGAAATAGTCACTATATTGAAATGTCAGATTCATATTTCTGAGATTGTAATTGTCACCCCTCAGTTGTCCAAATTGATGTCAATGTCGTCCTTTGAGGGGTGAAATGTACTCTTCGCCCACATTGTACATTTCATCCCTCAAAGGACCACATTTATAATAATTTGGACAATTGAGGGGTGCCATTTACAAATTGGGGAACACGGGTCCAACATTTCAATATGGTGACTATTTCAGGGACTAAAAGTGTGATTTTCTCAAACTAGAATTATATGGTTGATAATGAGTTGATAAAGTGGGAATCAAGTAGGAATGAATTAGAGTCACACAAATGTTACCAAATATGGTACTACCTTCGTCCCGTTGGAAGGTTCCCATAGCAAAACGGTACGGTTATTTAAGCAATAATTAAATAAAGTACTTCAAGTATAATTTGAGAAATAATTTTAATAGGTATATATTATAATGTAGTTAGTATTGATAACTGTGATGTTATAAATGTATAATTTTTAATAGTTAATAATTAATTTGTTACTTAAGATTGTTAATTCTTTCCTAAAACGGAAATGAGAACCTTCTAATGGGATGTCCAAAAAAGGAAAGTGAGAACCTTCTAATGGGACGGAGAGAGTATGAGACAATAATACAGGCCTACAGGGACATCCAAAAATGAAAAAATGGGACTAAAATTGGATTTTAGCCTGATGGCTTTGGGCAATGGGTTCTCTTGTTGATTATTTGACAAGATCAACTGCCGAGCGTTTGATGGAGGTGGAGGCCGAATAGGTCTTGATGAACCAGAAATTGGATGTGCAGGGTGTTCAATTGGTGAAGATGGCAGCCTCCTTGGTTGCAATCTCGAAGGCACTCATGCCGCCACCATAAAAAGGGCCGTTATCGACGTCTGCTTCACGGGATGAGACCGTTACATCCTCGTTTGAGCCAGAGTAGCAAGACCAATTTGACGCTCAGCTACCCTCGTTTGACGGGGATGATCCCATCGACTGGATTGCTAGGTCTGCGCAGTAATTTGAATTTAATTGTACCCCATCGGAAAGGAAGGTGACAGTAACTGTGGTTGCGATGGAAAGGGCAACCATGTATTGGTTGACCTGGTTAAGGGTGCGGTTACTTCAGGTCATTTTTAAAAGAAAAACAATTGAAATAACCAGGTGCGGTTACTTCAGGTCATTTTTAAAAGAAAAACAATTGAAAGATGTAAAAAAATTTAACCATGAGATCTTAATTTTAACATTTGAAAATATTCAAGAAACAATTTAGGTCTAAAAATCTTGAACAGTTGAAACTTCAGATTTTTTTTTTTCAAATTTATATATCCAATATATTTTTTTATAAAAATTGAAATACAAATAAAAATGTTAACATATACTTCAAATAAAATTGGGATTATAATTTTGCATGGGACCCTGCATTCCTTTCACACCCAAGCTAATGCTGCTTTGTCATTTCCACTCCAGGCCTCCAGGGGTGCCCCCAAGCGACTATGGTACCATGGTATACGGTGGTTTGCAACTGTTTTTGGGGTAAAAAAAAGCTCAAAAATAGCTTTTCCACTCCACAATTACGGTCAGTCTTAGGTTGCTTGTAACTCTGGGCTGAAAAAAGTTATTTTTAAACTTTTCACTCTAAAAACAGTTGTAATCAAAGTATAGAAAATTGGGTCGGGGTACCTTTGTGTGAGTGAAAGGAAAGAAATAGGTGTGGATAGACTAAATGTAAAATCTTATTTTTGTTTAAAGTGTTGTAACATTTTAATTTGTAGTCCAATTTTTATTAAAAAAAAATGTACCAAAATTCTTAATTTTTTATAATCTTTAATATGACACCATTATTGCATATATAAAGTTTAAAAAATAATGAAATTTTTAGATCTGAAAATATTAGACTCAAAAATTTCTAAAATATATTCTCATGGATAGTGTACCCGTGGGGTAGCTTATCCGAGGGGTTATTATGGGGAGTAATAAGAGAGAAGTCAGAGCAAGTAAATATAGAGAGAGAAAGTATATTATAAGTGTGGAGCGTTTTCAGCGTGGTTACAAATGGGAAAATGGGGTGCTATGTATAGTAGCAATAAATGCCGCACAGGGACACGTGTCAAACGCCCATTGGCCGAGAGGTCACCTCAACTGGTTGGCGCTGGCAGCCGCATGTGGCCGCATTTAATGCGGCTGTTGGATGGGACGTTGTACAGGGTACGGTGATCTGTACGCATGTGGCGCGGATATTATGTCAGGAGAGGTGCCCTCGGCTGCAGAGGACTAGCCGAGGGCTCTGAGTGCTGGGGACCCCCTGGGTGCCGAGGGCTCCAGGTGCCGAGGGCTACTGTTTTCTGCCGTTTTTCTCCCAGTTTCTTAGTTTGCTTGAAAACCCATTCTGCGAGAGTTTTGAGCCTTCGGCCAGGGGGGCGAAGGCTACCCAGTGTGCGCTGTGGGCTGCTAAGTGCTTGGGGCGCCGTAATGTGGGGTCTGCTGTGTTTCCTGGGCCGGTTGGGCCTTTATTGGTGTAGTAGGAGTCTGTGGGCCGGGGGTTCCCGGGCCATATACTCCATCAGGAGTCCCTCACTCCTTTTGCCGAAAGGTACTTGAGGGGAAAGGAGTAATTTGTGCTTGTCCTCTGCCGTTGTTTCGTCGTAATCTCTGAGGTTGGTGAGGAGTTTGTTGCTTTCATGTCCCTGCCGAAGGCAGTCCCTCAGTTACCCACATGTCGGGACTTGAGGGATTGCTTTGTCGTTTGTTAGGATTTTCACCATTTTGTAATTTAATGATTTTCCCGGGGGGGTCCTCCAGTCCCCCACTCCTTGAGGCACTTGTAAAGTGGTGAAAAGGAGTGAAGTGGTTGCGTTGCTGTTGCGGGCCGAAGGCTGACGCTTTTCGTTTCATTTTGGGGGGATGCCTCGTTAAAAACCTCATTAGGAAAAACCCTGTGGGAAAAAATCCTAATGAGGGAAAAAGAGTGCACCGAATTCCCCCAACGATGAATCGAAAATGTGAAACCTTGGTCCAAAATGGAGAATAACGGTAATGCCGAAGGCTCTCCTTGTTCTGAGGGCTCATGTGTTGAGTAGCCGGAGGCTTGTCGTTGATGTCATGGGAGGTGCCGAAGGGGAGCCCCTCAATCTGGGGATCGAGGGCGTGATGGATGAGGGCAGTAGTTGAATTGTTATCGGGGTGTCCCCTGCTTGTTGATTAGTTGGTGATGAGGATATCCGAGGGCTCCCATTACCTGTGTGCCGTAGGCTATCCGTCAATGAGGCATACTCCCCGGGGGCTACCCGGCTCTTACAGTGCTGAGGGGGAATCCCCGAGGGGTGGCCTGATATGAAGCCTTGGGCTTCTGAAGGAGTGATCCCGAAGACGACTGTTATGTACTGTGTGGGGCATAACCCGGGGGCGTCTCTGGGTAAGTGTACCCGGAGGCTCTCCTTGATGAAGTGGAGTGAAGTAAGAAAACCCGGGGGCTCCCAGAATATAGCCGTTGGAAATATAGTCGTTGGAATATGTAACGTCAGGATATAGCCGTTGGGGGGGTGCCACGTGGTGCGTGCCCGTTGGCTGCCCGTGGGCGGGCGTCACCGATTGGGTGAAAACTCGGTCGGTAATGATGGCGATCCAACCGGAGGCCCGGTTTCCAGGCCCAAGCCCGGATCCCAGCGCCTATAAATACCCCAAGGCCAGAGCCATTCTCCGTTGTGCGATCTCAGTGTAGCGAAGCTCTGGCAAAAATTTTCTAGAGAGAGAAACTCGCCCTCGGTTGAATCCTCTGTTCTCAAGGTCAGTTCCCCCCTGCCCTTCTCCTTCTAGTTAGCTGTCTTGTGCCCTTAGGCTAGGAGATAGAGTTTTTAGAAAACACTAGCGTCTACGAGCCTTCGAACCAGAGCGAGAATGTCGTCCCAGAGTGATTCTCAAGATATCTCGGGGGCGCCCTCGATGGAGGATGAAGTCCTCTCGGATGCGGAGTCCTCAAACGAACAGTCCTCGACCCAGGAGGATGTTGCGATGGCAGTAGAAGTGCAGAAGGAGCTGTTGGCTGAAGTTGAAGCCGAGGGCTTCGAGCAGGAGGTGGAAGACGAAGAGCTGGCTCTCGCCATGCAGGTTGTAGAGGAGGAGGAAGCAAAGGAGAGGACGAGGGTGACTGTGGCCGTCCTTCCCCCTCGGGGTGCCGGTGAGGCCAGCACCTCTCGGCCGCTGAACGCGGTTCCCATCCGGGTGGCCCCCGGAAAGAAGAAGGCCAAGGTAGCTGCTCCCAAGAAGAAGGGCAGCGTCGCAGATCAAGGGAAGCCCCTCGATATGCCCGAGGGGTACTCCTACCTGAACACCGCCGTCTTGGAAATAAGGTCGAAGGTTGATGCGGCAGACATCTACGTCACTCAGCTTCACGTGGGCCCCTCGGCCATCGTGGTGACACCGGGTCCAGATGACGTCCTCTCCCGGGCTCCCGAGGGCTGTATCGCGGTGCACGTTCTCTCGGTGTCCATGGGGCTCCGCTTCCCCCTGCACCCTTTCCTCCGGGAGTACCTCCGGTTCGTGGGTCTGGTCCCCTGCCAGCTGACCCCGAACAGCCATTCCTACATTACTGGCTTCCTCCAGCTCTGCAAGTCCCGGGGGGTGACGCCTAGCCTGGACCTCTTCTTCCAGAGCTTCAATCTGTGCCGGGGGGGGCATGCGAATGCCGAGGGCTTCGCAAACTTGCAGCAGGTGGCAATGTTCAAGCTCTTCACTGAGGCGCCCTCCTCGAACGAGGGGTGGAAGGACCGGTGGTGCTACGTGAAGCTGACCGAGAGCCCCTTCCCGAGGGAGTTGCGTGACCGTTTCAGGAGGCACGAGAAGAGGAGGAGCGCCGCCCTCGAGAAAGACGGCAGGATTCTGGCCATGATCCCGGAGGGCCGGGACAAGAATATCACCATTAAGGAGTGCACCAAAGAGGGAGATCTCTACACCCTCGGGTTCCGGAGGTATCGCTTCCTGGGGGAAACAGATGAGAAGTTCCCGGTGTTTGAGGGAGCCTCCGGAGGTAGTGGCTGAGGGCACTCTCACCTTCATATCTTAACACATAGTTCATTTGCTTGTTTGTTTCTCTTTATGCCATCTGTTAGTGACCCCTCGATTTTAACCCCACATTGTTTTTGCAGGTGTCAATATGGATCTCAATGCCTTCGCCAACCTCAAAAAGCAGAAGGTGAAGGTCCCGGGCCAGAAGGAGCCCGTAAAGCAGAAGCCCCTCGGGGAGATGAAGAAGGGCGGTGAGCCCTCGGGGGAGGCCGCAAAACGGAAGGCCGCCGGCAAGGCCCCAATCCCCGAGGGGAAGAAGCAGAAAAAGGGGGACGCCGGGAAGAAGGCTCCCCTGGTGGTGGTGGTGGACGAGCATTCCGCCTCCGAGCCCAGTGCTCCGACTGCTCCTTGCCCGCCCTCGGGTAAAGGTGGCGAGGTAAGCTTGCCTCGGGAGGATATACAGTTCTCCCTGCCGAAGGGGTCTGCCATTACGCATGGCACAGTGGACCCCCGGGAATTTCTGGGCGGGGCTACACCCGCTCTGGACAGGCGGGCTCTCGGGAAGCTGGATGATGAAGCCCTCGAGTCCAAAATCCTCCGGTCCTCTCTTACCGTAAGTTCTCCTCCTTCCTCTCTTCTTCTTTCTTTTTCCTTAGCATCGTGGCCCATGACTTTATCTGTTTGTGTGATCATAATTTTAACCCCTTGCTTTGTTGTTTGTTTAAACAGGCTTGCATAGCCCTCGGCGAACACGCCAGGAGGTTCGACGAGTGGCGCCTCCAGAGGGCGCAACAGGAGTCCCTCAAGAAGCTTATTCATGATAATGTCGAGGCCGTGAGGCAGATGGCTCAACTGGAGAGGGACCTCCAGCCGGCGAGGGCGGAAGCAGAGAGAGCGGCCAGAGAGAGTGGAGATGGAGAAGGCGGCTGCCGAGGCTGCGAAGAAGGCCCTTGAAGACGCCGAGGCCGCCAAAGCAGAGGCCGCCGCTGCTGCAGTTGCTGCCTTCATGACCGAGGGCTGGAAGGCCGAAGGCCATAAAGACTAGGTGGCCTCGGTCATGGAGAGTTCTGCCGAGGGGTGGGTGAAGGGACCCGGGGCGATGTGGCTAGCCCGAAAGGGTGAAGATTACTACGCCGGGGGGAGTTCTTCACCCAGGCCCTAATCTACAAGAGGCTCGCCCGGCACCTGAAGATAGAGCCAACGGCCTTCGACCCGTCGGCATACGGTCTCCCCCCCCCCTCCAGCCTGATATCAGAGTCCCCCTTCCCGAGGGCGTCGAGAGGCCGGAACTGGAAGATTCAGAACTCCTGAAGGAGGCCGGGGGCGATGAAGCAGAGGCTGATGCGGAGGTCATCTCGAAGCCTGCGGAAGAGGCTGCCCCCGGTGTTGACAATATGTGATATGTAATTGTAGTGTTTTGAATTCCTTTGTTTTTTGTTTGTAATGAATATTCGTGTACTCTCGGCCTCGGCCATATTGTAACATCTATATTTTGGCTCCTCCCTGAATGCATGAATGTTTGCCTTCGGGCTTTTTGTATAGTTCGTTTCCTCCGAGTGTTTTTCCTTGAATGTATGCCTTCGTCTCGTTTTGAATTTATACCTTTGCTCCTTTGAATGTATCCTTAGGACTTAGGAAATATTCTTCCAAGTGTTTGTCCATCTGTTAGCCCCCGGCTGATCCTTCCCTCCGGTTCTTTGTAGTCTTTATGAGATAAACAGAGGTGAGGAGCTTAGGTCTTAGAAAATTTTTCTAAGTGTTTGAATACAGTTGTAGCCTTCGGTAGTTGGACACCCTTCGCTGGATATACAACCGAGGGCTCAGCAATAGTTAGGACTTAGAAATTTTTTTCTAAGTGTAGTTTCACCAAGCCTTCAATCGTGTGACCCCTCGGGTTGCAGGGAGATTCGGGACTTAGAAACTTGTCACCGAGGGTAAGATCTTTTGGGACTTAGAAATTTTTCTAGGTGTAGCACGTATGTAGCAGGAGCCCTCGGTCAGCATGGAGATTCGACCGAGGGTCAAAGTATGTAGGACTTAGAAATTTTTTCTAAGTATAGCTTCACCAAGTCTTCAACCGCATGTCCCCTCGGGTAGCATGGAGATTTGACCGAGGGCCAAAATATGTAGGATTTAGAAAAATTTTCTAAGTGTAGCACACCATAGGGCCTTCGGGTGTTTGTAGTTCAATCGCTGTGTGATGATTAGGTTGAGAACCCAATCTTTAGGACTTAGAAAAATTTCTAGGTGTAGTCTCCCATTGGAAGCCCTCGGCTGGCAGCCTCCTTCCTGATGTGTGAATATTTGACCGAGGGCCAAATATGTAGGACTTAGAAAATTCTATAAGTGTTGTTGCATCACGTAGCCTTCGCCTATCATGGTTCCTCTAGTTGAAATATTGATCAGGCTGGGGGCTCAATCTTCAGGACTTAGAAAAATTTCTAAGCGTTGCTTCCTTGTGTAGCCTTCGGTTAGTAGTGTTTTCTACTTAAGATTTCCTGAGGGCGACATTATTTTGGAATAATCCCCCTTGGTTGGGCTTTGATGATTTGTAATAGTTGCCTTCGGTCGTTGGGTGATATGTGAGCCTCCGGCTGTTGTCATTTTTTCAAAAGTGTGGACTTAGGAAAATTTGTAGGATATTGATGTTGTAGTGAATGCTGGTGGGATATAGGTGCCCTCGGCATTCATTTGAAGGGTTCTTGAGCTGCCTTAGTCAGTTGCATCCCCTTTTACAGGATAGGACCCCTCGGTACAATGGATGACCGATGGTAGGTGCCCTCGGCACTTATTTGAAGTGAACTTAGCCATTTAGTGTACTTGAGACAGTCCCATCCCTTTGTATTGTTGAGCAGTAACCTTCGGGAAATAGGAGCCTTCAGTTACCGGAGGTGTTCCCGTAGGGAGCCCTCGGTATGTTGTGATTTGTTGGAGTGTTGTACTCACTGATTTCTCGATGAGTCTACTCCCCTTCACCCTTTTTTTTTTGGTTGGTGGTGAAGGGAAGGCATCAAGAAACTTGGTTTCTTGGTAAGGCTGGGCCTATCAGGAGACCATCAGAATACACCAATGGCTCTCCTCCCTCGGGTTAACCTTCCGAGTTCCGAGGGGATCGAGGGTCGTTTCCTGGGCACAAGATATGGTGGTCTGTAACCTGCCTCCCCTTGGGGGATGGCGCGGAAAGCGCCTCATTTTTGAAAGTCGTCCCCTCGGCGCTAGACATAGTCTGTGGCCTGCCACACCCTTGGGGTGGTAGCGCGGGGAGCGTTTCGGTTTGGAAGTCGAATCCTGGGCATTTCTCGTGCCTGTCATACCCTTGGGGTGATGACGCGGAAAGCGTTCCGTTTTTGAAAGTCGAATCCTGGGCATTTCTCATGCCTGTCATACCCTGGGGGTAGTGACGCGGAAAGCGTTTCAAGGAAGGGTTTTCATTTGCACACTAGTTGCAAATGGCCGGGGGCACTACGTGCCGCCGACACCGATGGTGGCGCCTTCGGTATATGCATCCTCGTGGGGTACGGCTTTTAGAAACAACACTTGGTGTTAGTTTCGTTATGTAGCCCCCGATACTTGGTACCGAGGGGTCTTCTGTAGGAACTCTTAGTGTTCTTCTTCTATTTGACGTTGATGGGTGAGATGTGTGACCGCTGGCCTGCCGGGGGCTTTCTGGAAATGTTAGCATGCGGTGCACCTTCGGGCAAGGTCAGCACAATCCCTGGCCATGGTCGGCCAGAAGTAGCCCTGGAGAATGAGCCTTCGGGACATGGAAAAAGGTCCCTGGTCAGCTGAGCAAGTGCCACTGTTCACCTCCTCCATTGCGACCTCGGCTTCATCTTGATGAAGGCACCGAAGTAGCGTGCCGTTGTAAGACCGTTTGTAGAGCCTTCCGTCTTCGATGGTGTAGCTAGGAGCCCTCAGCTTTGCTAGTTTAGCGCGGGTCTCATCTTCGGGTAGCTGCCCGGCTGAGATGAAGGTGATGATATCTGAGATCCAGTCATCTTGGCGTTGTTGTATGTTCATGACGGGGCTCGCATGGATACTCGAGAGACTGAGTTCCTCAATTTTAGCAATCTTAGAGATGTGCTCGGGGGAGTCGGCCGAGAGCTTAGATAGTATGTCGGCCTCGGAATTCTGAGCCCTCGGTATTTGAGTGAGAGAGTGTGCCTCAAATACCTTAAGCAACTCCTTGGCCGCCTCCTTGTACTGTTTCATTCTTCCCTCCTTGGCCTCATACTCCTCGGAGATTTGGCCAACGACCAACTTGGAGTCGCATTTGATATGGATCTGCCGAGCCTTCATGATGGCAGCCAGCCGAAGGCCACATAGGAGGGCTTCATACTCGGCCTCGTTGTTGGAGACTTTGAAGGAGAAGCGGATTGCATAGTAGGCTTTGAAGCCCTCGGGAGTAATGAGGACTACCCCTCCCCCGCATTCTTTGGTTGCGGAGGAGCCGTCGGTGTAGAGGGTCCACCAGTCGTCCGAGGTAGCCGAGGGCTCCCCGTCTGTGGCCGCCCTTGCGGTACACTCCGTCACAAAGTCTGCCAGGGCTTGGCCCTTGATGGCAGGCCTCGGACGGATGTCAATGTTGTACTGGCTCAGGAAGATAGCCCACTTCACCATGCGGGATGAACTGGTGGGGCTCCTCATGAGGGCGCCGAGGGGTTGATGAGTGAGGACATGAACCGGGTGAGCATGAAAGTAGTGGCCCAACTTCTTGACGGTCCAAACGATGGCTAACACCGTTTTTTCCACAGGAGAGTACCTGAGCTCGGCCTCCCTTAGGGTCTTGCTTACATAGAAGATGGCATGTTGGATGCCGTCTTCCTCCCGGATGAGCACGGAGCTGATGGCTGCCGGGCTGACCCCAAGGTAGAGATAGAGCGTCTCCCCTACCTTTGGTTTGGAGAGCACAGAGGGTGAAGATAGATATCATTTGAGCTCGTCGAAAGCCCCCTGGCATTCTGGAGTCCATTGAAAGCCAGTCGTCTTCCTCATGATCTGGAAGAAGGGTAGAGACTTCTCCGCTGATTTAGATAGAAAGCGGTTGAGGGCTGCCACGTGGCCCGTCAACCGTTGAACTTCCTTCACATTGCGTGGGGGCTCCATGTTGATGATGGCCTGGATCTTCTCGGGATTGGCCTCAATACCCCTTCGGCTCACCATGTAGCCTAAGAATTTGCCCCCTTGGACGCCGAAGGTGCACTTCTTCGGGTTTAGCCGAAGGTTGAACTTTTGCATGATGGCGAAGATTTCCCGGAGGTCGTCGGCATGGCTGGAAGATTGTTTGCTCTTGAGGATCATGTCGTCAACATAGGCTTCCATGGTGCGCCCTAGGACGGCCTGAAAGACTCGGGCCACCATCCGGGTGTAAGTGGCCCCTGAGTTCTTTAGGCCGAAGGCCATCACTAGGTAGCAGAAGATGCCCTCGGGAGTCATGAAGGCTGTCTTTTCGGCGTCTTCCTCATGCATGAAGATCTGATGATACCCGCGGAATGCATCGAGGAATGACATGATTTCACACCCCGCGGTCTCATCTACAAGTTGATCGATATTGGGAAAAGGAAAAGGGTCCATAGGGCATGCCTTGTTGAGATCCGTGTAGTCCACGCACATGCGGAAGGTAGGAGGCTTCTGTGCGAGGACTACATTCACCAGCCATGAGGGGTATTTTACCTCCTTGATGTGCTTAATAGAGAGGAGCATGGCGACCTCCTTCTTCACAAATTCCCTCCTTTCGGCGGAGAGGGGTCTTCTTCGTTGCTGTACTGCTTTTGCCGAGGGGTCCACCGAGAGGCGGTGGGTGATGACCCTTCGGCTTATTCCCGGCATGTCCTCCGGCCCCCATGCAAAGACAGTGGAGTAGGCGCGGAGGGCGTCGGTGATACCGGTCTTCAGATCTTCAGGGAGCTGGGCTCCAATCTTCACGACTCTCTCCGGCTTGGCCGGATCGAGCGCAAAGTCTTCTACGTCCTCGGCTGGTTCAGCCCTCGGCCTCTTTTCTTCTTCGTCGATGGTTCCGGTGATGGTGTCAACACGGAACTCCGTCTTACTTACTTTCTTCGTGACTTGAAGATAGCAAGCGCGGGCAATTTTCTGATTCCCCCGGGAGTAGCCAATGCCCCCCTCGGCGGGGAACTTGAGGCAGAGGTGCCTCATGGAGATTACGGCCTCGAGGTCCTCGAGGGCTGGCCGGCCGAGGATGATGTTGTGGGCGCAGTCGATGTTGACGACGACGAACTCCAATTCGAGTTGGGTTCTATGGAGCCCGTCGCCGAAGATTACCGAGAGGGTTATTACCCCCTCGAAGTCAATAGTATCGCCGGTGAAGCCGGCAAGAGGGGTCTTAATGGGCCGAAGGGACCCCCTCTCCAGATGCAGCTCTCTAAAGGTGCTGAGGTACATTACATTGACGGAGCTGCCCGTGTCAATGTAAGTTCGGTGAATGATGGTGTTGTTTATTTCAGTCCGAATCACCAAGGCATCCCTGTGAGGAGAAGAAGTAGGAGGGAGATCTGCGTTGGTGAAGGTGATGGGTTCCTCCCTCAGCCGCTTTACCGGGGGCATATGGGTGACTTCCCCCACATAAAGCGATTGAGCCCACTTTTTCCGCTGATCGGTGGAATCGCCCCCTGTATTGCCACCGGTGATCATGAGGATGTGACATTTTTCTCCTGGTAGTGGGGGTACTCCTCCTCTTCCTCCTCCAAGTTTCCGATCTCCCTCTTCTTGCCGAGGGGTATGGTGTTCGGGTTCACCCAAGCGTTCACCTTCGTGTGGTGCCCTCGGGGAGGTCCCTGATGAGAAGGTCCCTCCTGCCGAGGGCTCTGGATAAACTGGGACAGATGGCCCGCTTGTATCAATCTCTCGATGGCCGTCTTTAGCTGATGGCAGTCATCGGTTCTGTGCCCCTGATGCCGATGGAAACGACAGTAGGGGAACTGAGGGTTGATAGCATGTACCTCCGAGGGTGCGCGAGAATCACGCTCAACGAGGCCCCTCTCCTCGGCAAAATCAAGGATGATGCTGACGGGGTGCGTCAATGGTGTCCGGGGGCGGTCCAGGAGAATGGGTTGTGCCCAAGTCTTAGGGTTGCTCTTATAACCTCCCCCGGGCTTGGCTTGGCCTTGCCGAGGGCGGTCATCAGAGGGTCCTGAAGCCTTGGGATGATTTGGAGGAGCCCCCGGCCCTCGGTTGTTCTTGTTGTCAGCCTTCGGGGGCTGCTGATCTGGATACTGGTGGTATTTCTCCACCTCCTCGGCCTCAGCATATCGGTCCCCCCGCTGCAGGGCCCTTATGTAGTCGCGGGGGGGGGGGGGGGTTCAATGATGAGGCTCCTTGAAAAGTTGCCGGTGCGGAGGACGGTTTGTAGGAGGGCCAGGAGGGTCCCGTCGTCAGCACCGTCGACTTTGTCGGCTTCCGTTCTCCAGCGCTCCAGGAAGTCCCGAAGGGTCTCATCCCTCCTTTGGCGTATGGTTAGGAGGTGGGAGAAGTGCTTCCTCGTGCGACGCCTCCCGACAAATTGCGTCAAGAATCGCTGGGCGAGTTCTTGCCACGAATCAATGCAGCCTTCGGGCAACCGGTTGAACCATTCGTATGCCGGCCCCTCTAAGGTGGAGAGGAACCAACGACACAAATATTCGTCTGACGCCCCTACCATCATCATGTTGTTCTGATATTTGCTGTAGTGCTCCTGGGGGTCCGTCCTCCCGTTGTAGGGCTGTATGTGTTGCCCTCGGTATTTTTCCGGGATCCGGGCCGCCAATACCTTGGGGTGAATGGCGTCCGGGTCCGGAGCTGGATAATGGGTTCCCCGGAGCCCTCGACTACCTTCTTCTGCAATTCCTCCATTTTGGCCATCATGGCCTCGTATTTGAGGTCTGAATGAGGGGTGGAGGTGGTGGCGTGAGCTTTGTTGGCCTCCATTTCATCAAGTCGGCGTTGGAGGGCCGCAATAATTTCGTCCCGGGGGTCCTTCGGGAGGGTCTCCGCCCCCTGCGAACGAACCCGGGCCGAGTGGGCCTAGTTGATTTGGTGACGAGCATCGTCGGCATGAAGGGGTGCCTTGCCTTTGTCCCGAGGAGGACGCTCCTCGTCTGCCCTCGAGACAGACCCTCCGCTTTCCTGGGGCCTTGGGAGTGCCTTTCCTCCGAGGCGGTCTTGGACCCCTCGGCGGTCTTGCCCCCCTCCGAGCCGGTTGAGGGCGGAAGTGCGGGGCCTTTCTCTGTTTTCATTGTGGCGGTCCCGGGACTGAACTTCTTGGGAGGCCGTATCTTGGGCCACTACCTCTTCGTCATTCCTAACCCGAGGGATGGGGTTTCCGAAGGGGTGCGGCAGAGGGGGAAGTATGATGTTTTCCCCAACCTGGGGTTGAGCCGGAGCCAGGGTGCTGAAGGCACCCGGGTTCTGAGTGAGTGTCTGGATGAAGGCGGAGAGCGCCGAATGAACGTCGATAGTGAGGACCGGAGGGCTGACTTGGTCATCGCTCCGGTTCTTCTTCTTGGCCTCGATGCCGAGGCGGGCATCGGGGGCATTCTGCTGGATCTGAAGGTGTAGGTCGACAGCCGCCTGTTCCAGCCCAGCGATGACACCGCCCTCGGGAGCCCTGTGAGAGGCTTCGGGGGCGTTGACGTCGCCGAGGGCCAGGTTCTTGTCCTCTACGTTTTTGGAGTTGGCACGTGTAGTTCTAACCATTTTGGTAGAGGGCTGGTGTTTGGCGAAGGGGGAGGGTTTCTTACTTGATTGTTCGACCTCTCAACGAGAGCACCAAATGATGGATAGTGTACCCGTGGGGTAGCTTATCCGAGGGGTTATTATGGGGAGTAATAAGAGAGAAGTCAAAGCAAGTAAATATAGAGAGAGAAAGTATATTATAAGTGTGGAGCGTTTTCAGCGTGGTTACAAATGGGGAAATGGGGTGCTATTTATAGTAGCAATAAATGCCGGACATGGACACGTGTCAAACGCCCATTGGCCGAGAGGTCACCTCAACTGGTTGGCGCTGGCAGCCGCATGTGGCCGCATTTAATGCGGCTGTTGGATGGGACGTTGTACAGGGTACGGTGATCTGTACGCATGTGGCGCGGATATTATGTCGGGAGAGGTGCCCTCGGCTGCAGAGGACTAGCCGAGGGCTCTGAGTGCCGGGGACCCCCTGGGTGCCGAGGGCTCCAGGTGCCGAGGGCTACTGTTTTCTGCCGTTTTTCTCCCAGTTTCTTAGTTTGCTTGAAAACCCATTCTGCGAGAGTTTTGAGCCTTCGGCCAGGGAGCCGAAGGCTACCCAGTGTGCGTTGTGGGCTGCTAAGTGTTTGGGGCGCCGTAATTTGGGGCCTGCTGTGCTTCCTGGGCCGGTTGGGCCTTTATTGGTGTAGTAGGAGTCTGTGGGCCGGGGGTTCCCGGACCATATACTCCATCAGATTCAAATAATAAAATTAAGATCTCATTGTTAATTTTCTCTTTTACATTTTCAGTTTTTTTTAAATAGTTCTTTTGTTTAATGATTATAATAATTTAGTTTGATAAATAGAGAATATGATCGATAACAATTTAATTTATAAAATTATGCATTACGAAATAATCCAGTCGCCTAATATGATTGGTAAACTTGAGATAAGGATAGATACTAAAACCTGGTTCAAGAAACACCCTGATTCAAAATTAAAGTCCTATTAAGATCAAGGTCGACTAATATAACTCAGAGGACTTAAATTTTGATTAGTCGTACTATTTAAGATATTAAGAACTTTAGGTGTTTCTTTTTCGTTTTATAGTAATTAGATCAGTTGTTTATTATTAGTACCCTCAATTTAAAGAATCAGACTTGGGGTACACACTTTGTGTACACACTCTTACACACTCGTGTCTGTGAGTCATTTTTATGTCTATCCCAGACAAAACGTATTTGTCACATGAGTGGAACACACATAAAAAAAAAGTCTTCACAGACATGAGTATGTAAGAGTGTGTACCAATAGATTTTTTCCAATTTAAACTAATTGGAGCAGTCTGTTCACTCTAACCTCTAGTCAAAGTCAAGCGCAATCCGTTGATTATTGTATAGTTGATCTCATGAAATCAACACAATTATTGGCAAGGACTTTTTTGGAGTCTAATACGTGAATATACCAAAGGAGTAGTATATCATATCCTCTTCCTTTTGACCCTGAATGCTACTTGCTATGTGTTGACTATTGTCAATGATGTGCATTCGTAGATGATCGAGGCATCACACTTGAAGACCCCATCCCTGAAAATCCATCAAAATCGATCGGACAGTCTTCTGAAAGTGTAAATTGAGCTTTAATCTTACTCTAATTGAAAAAAAGTGAAGTTTCTTTTCAAATCATTGCTTGGAGTTGAACTTGAGAGCTCTCCCTTGTATCACTCTCTTCTTTGATATGAAGAGCCCTACCCTATATGCTAAAGGTACTTCTAGATGGTGGCCCCTTAATCACCAAAGAAAATAGCATGCCCTAAAGACTAGGCAAAGGGTTATCATGCACTATAAACCCTGATCGATTGATCCAATAAAAGGTGGAATCTCCCATCCCAAGAGTCCCTCACCCCGACCCGACAGGATGATGGGAATGTTAGTCACGGTGAATGTATAGATCAAGGTTTTGATCATTATAAAGGCCCCACAAGAGAACGAAGAGTGGCATGTCCCATGCTCATATATAGTAGTACAACATCATGTAGCTAGTGACATTTAAACTCTCCTACTCCTAACCCCTAGTGCTCCGTATTTTGCTAGTTGAAGCTAATGAATAAAGACCATTTAAACGTTACCATTGGATTCTACCAAAGGTCGTCTTGGTTCAGAAAAAAAATGGAGTTTGTTAGGTTGTAGCTATGTCTGTAGATGTTCATAAGTAACTTTTACATTTTGTGTTGATTTTGAGTTTTTTCAATTGTGATCTGTTGAGACTAATTCGGTTAATACGGAGTATATATTAATACATCGAAGTATTATTATTGTGGAATTTGGTTCATATTACTCTTTTTTAGTTACTTTTGTTGTGGAATTAATTAGTGTAGTGATATTGCATTTTTCATAATTTTAGTGGAGTAACTTGTGTGTTACCGACTTACCGCAATAAGGTCATGATGTTAAAGGTGTGATGCCATAGAGAGCCCGGGTATGACACTTATCCTAGAAGAATAAACATACAAGTATAAATGGTAGCCCCTTATCTGTAGGTGTATCGTGTCTTATCACTCTTGTACGTATGTTTTAGAAACAATTGTTATTTTAGAAATATATATACCTGATCACATTAAACTTTTATGCTATACGTATGTTATAGTCTAAAAATGTTACACTTTTATCATTAATTCTTCTAAATGTATATATTATTCATATTTGTGTTCCTTTAGAATTACATCAACACTAGATATGTGAGAGGTTGAGTAATATAACAAAGCGAAATGATATTTGTACACACTCTTATACACACTTTTGTACACATCTATGTCTGTGAAAGCTTTTTTTTTTTGTCTGTGAACATCGATTCACAGACAATGTTTTGCACAAACAAAATATTGTCTGTGAACCGGATTCACAGACAAAAAAAACTTCACAAACATAATGTGTATAAAATGTGTACAATGGTGTGTACATCAAGAATCGTTGTATAACAAAAGGTACGTCCTAGAATGATCCCACTAATGATCATCGAGATTGAGGTACCAATCATTCGCAATAAATTGACATGTGTTTCATCGTGCTTGCATCATATTTTTAGGTGTAATTAATTTCAGAATTCTAGTCATTCATAAAGGTCAAACGATTATTTAGTACTCTACCCGTTCCTAAATAAACTTCCAATTTTTCTTTTTCGTTCATTTCAATTAAAACTTCCACTTTTCCTTTTTAGTAAAGAATTTGTGGTTCACAACATTTCTTACACATTTCTCTCCCCTCTGCACAATTCTCCACCACAAAATACTCGCTATCTTAAACTGTGTGCCAAATCTATTTGGAAGTTTTAATAGGAAAGTAGAATATTTGTTATATTCAAATAGAAATTCTTTGTGCATTTTGACCATGACCAATGATGCTTGCACGTCACATCACGAAGCACAGAGAAATAATAGTTGGTCCAACAAAATGATGCATTTCTCATTATAAATTTTGAAAAAATACTTTACTTTTTCATATCTAGATTGGTGGCAAAGTCATTTTGTTCGAATCATTGCGGACCAAAGAGTAAGTTTGAATCTATAGAAATAATTCAAAGTCATAAAAGTTATACATCCAAATATATGGTAACTAAGCTACATCACAAGTTCACAACTACAATTCCAGCACATACGTACTACATCAATAAAATACATGCACCATATATTACTAATTTTATCAATTTCTTACAATAAATACGACTTTGATCTTGAAAGTCAATCCTAAAATATGAAATCATTACAATTAGTTGCAAACCAAACAAATTCAATATGATTTATAAAGCTATACCCTGTCAATGTCTTTTGTTAAAAATGCACAATAAAACAGTCCATCCAACTCATGTTGCAAAATTATTTAAAGATGCTTATACAAAATTAAGATATTTTTATAATATCTTTGAAAAGTGTATTTATTAACAATCCATCATATAATATACTACCTCCATCCCAAAAAACTTTGTCATTTCAAACAATTTGAACATTGATTTTGATTAGTATAATATTATGGAGATTATAAATTTTATATTTTTATGAAATTACTTTTAACAACGAACATTTTCATATAATTTTTATATTATAAATAATTCTCAATAAAAAAATATAATCAGTCAAAATTTTAAAAATGTCAAAGTTTTTTAGGACGGAGGTAGCACGTAGCATAATCATATCATATGTGTTAAGTGTTAAGATATCCCCACTTTGTAGCTATAAGCTATCCCATCGCAAAGCACAAAGAATAAGTGGTCATGTACTCAATAATATACTCCCTCCGTCCCATATTTAACTCCAGTTTTGACCGGGCACGAGTTTTAAGATAGTGGATTTGTGTGGTGGAGAGTTATGCAGAGGAGAGAGAAATGTGTAAGAATGATTGCGAACCACATATTCTTTACCAAAAAGGGAAAAAGAAGATAAATTTGGGACGGATCGAAAAGGAAAAAATGAAGATAATTCCGGGACGGAGGGAGTACTACGTACTACGTATCAAGTACTTCATCGTCCTACTTTTCAATATTTTCTTTTTGGAAAGAAATATGTGGTGAACAATATTTTACTTTATTATACTCAAATCTAAACTTTTACTAATATGCGTGCCAAGTCAAAGTAGAACACATAAAATAAGACAGGTGTAGTAAATGAAAGGTAAATAATATATCAAATAATATATCAAGTAAATGAACAACTCTTGATGAACATGAGATTAATTAATAAAACATGTTTTAATAAACCCTGCTTATTAACATGTGAAGTAAACATGTCTTAGCATCTGCACTGTGTATTTACACATTACTCCTAGTGACCAAGTTAGTTTAAGAGCTCGTTTGGTACCATTGTTTTTTGACTTATCATGCTTATCAGCCAATAGTTTCATCAAACACGTACACTTTGATTTCATGCGTTGAATTGTGTAATACTACATACTACGTAATAAGAAAAAGTAAGGTTGTAATTACATTTCTGCTTGTATTGGCTGAAGTTACTATAGAGGATCATTTTAACTATTTTTTCATATAATTTTTTCTTTATTTTATTAATAAAATATATTTTAAATATAATTTTTTCATAAATCAGCAGAATCGACCAATGCAGTCATTTCAACCAGAACTTCATAAATTTCAACAGAATCAACCTGTTTTGCTATTACCAAACGGCTCTAAGACTCCAAAAAATCCTTTGGCAATATTCGTTGATTTCATGAAATCAACTACACAATAATCAACGGATTGCGCATGACTTTGACTAGAGTCTAGAGCGAACAGACTGCTCCAATTTGTTCAAAATGAGCGTCCTATAATAAACAACTGATCTAATTTTATAAAACACCTGAAATTCTAAATATCTTAATTAGTACGACTAATCTAATCCAAATCACTATTCATATTGCTCGACTGAATTATATCTCAATACGTAATTTTATAAACCAAATTGCCATCATATTCAAATTCAGTTTTTGCAATTTAAAAGAACTCTTAATGTAGTTTATAAAATACCATAAAATGAATGCCAAAATATGAACCGTATATTTTCTTATATTAAATACGAAGTAGTAATTTGCTTCTTATTTTATACGTAGTACTAGTATAAGTTTATATATTCTTTACATATACGGAATATAAGATTACTTTTCTATGAATCAACCTAAATTATCATAATCATTAGACAAAAGATATACGCCGTATTGTTGTACAAATTACAATATACTTATACAGAGTATATTCCAACATACATGGACAGTAAGTAAATACTCCGTAATTTTAAGTCAAGCAAGTGGACCCATTAGCCGGAAGACCAGAGTACATCATTGTAAAAACTCAATTCCGACTTTCTGAATGATTCGTTGAGAGTTTCAAAAGTTGAAGAGAGAAAATTTAAATTTATTTAACTCAATTTATATTCTTTTACTTTAGGGGAAATAAAAAATTAGAGTCAAGTATGACACGAGAAACATTGTTCTTGCTGCGGCCCTTGGTCAAAATGTAGGAGAATATTGGGAGGTACACACTTGCTTCGGAGGAACTTTCTTTAATTTTCTTCTCTCTCTTTATATATAAACTCAATTTCCTGACAGCAAATACAACAAACACTAACCAAAATTCACAACATCCTCCATTGAAGATTTCTTGTTCGCATTGAGAGAGAGATGACACTGCCCACAACACCTCGTAGGATGAAAGCAGCAATCTTCGCCTCATCCAAAACCAACTCTTCTCACCCTTCTTCTTCATCTTCAACCCATTCTTCCCCATCTCAAACACCTTCCCACACGCTATCAGAATCAATGATGGAGGAAACCATTGATAATGCTGAGGTGATCATTAAGAAATGGGATCCAAAAGGATCCTACTCCCACGAAAAACTATTTCAAGAAAACAAAAACGAAGCCCGGGAATTCATCAAGTGCATCAAGGAGTTGAGAAGAGTGATGCACTTGCTGGTTTCAAATCGTTCGGATTCTGGGAAGCTAGCTCGAGCACAGAACTCGATGCATCTGGCCATGGAGAGACTTCAGAAGGAGTTTTTTCAGATACTGTTGGCGAATAGGGAGCGTCTGCATCCCGAATCAGTGTCCACCATATCCTCTTGCATCTCAACATCACTTTCATCTGATTCCGAAAAAGAAGATAGCTTTTGCTTGTCAGACAATGACATTCATGTGGCTATGAGTGACTTAAGGCAGATCGGTCACTGTATGGTCAGCTCGGGATACGCCAAAGAATGTGTCAATATATTTGAACTCAGGAGAAAGTCAGTTGTGGAGGAAGGGCTGTATAACCTTGGAATAAGGCGGTATAGCTCATCATCCCGCCACATCAGCAAGACGGGCTGGAACATTGTAGAGGATCAGATCAAGAACTGGTTAAGCGCTGTAAGATTTGCAGTTAGGTCCCTCTTCAATGGCGAGAGGCTTCTCTGTGACTACGTCTTTTCTGCATCAGAAACAATAAGAGAGGCATGTTTCACGCATATAGCAAAAGACGATGCTATTAACCTATTCAGATTCCCAGAACTTGTTGTTGCAGGGAAGAGCAAGATATCCCCAGATCAAGTCTTCGTCCTAATGGACATATATGAAGAGATCTCAGAGCTCTTTCCCGAGATTGAGTCAATCTTCTCATATGAATCAGTCTCAGAAGTCAGGCAGCAAGCTCTCTCCTCTCTTCAAAAAGTAGGACTATTAGTGCAAACCCTAATTTCTGATTTTGAGAAATCCGTGCAGAAGGATTCATCAAAAAAGCCAATCCACGGAGGAGGGATACATCCATTGACCCGTTCCGTGATGGATTTCGTCTCATCAATGGGAGACTACTCCGGAACCTTTCAAGACATAATTGGTGAGGTATCAGTATCAACACGAATTGATAGGATCATCCTCACACTTCTGTGCAAACTTGACACCAAATCCAGGCTCTACAATGACGTTGCTCTATCTTACCTTTTCCTAGCGAACAACTTCCGGTTCGTCACGGAGCGGATAAGGTCAAGCTCCCTCCTCGAGTGTCTCCTAGGTGATGAATCACTGTCGAATCTGGACAGGAAGGTGAACTCATATATAGCAAACTACAAAGCTATGGCGTGGGGAAAAGTGATTTCATCGCTTCCAGACAGTTCGGATCCATCACTTTCAATTGAGGAAATAGATGCGCATTTCAGAGAATTCAGTGTCGCCTTTGAAGAGGCATACCGGAAACAGAGAGCGTATGCGGTTCCCGACGGGAAGCTCCGAGATGAAATAAAATTGGCAGTGGCTAGAGAATTTGTAGCATATAAGGAATTCTACGATGCATACCTGGATTTGCTGAGCAGTGAAAAGAACATGGAGGCTCTGGTGAGGTATTCTCCTGATAATTTGGGAAACTACTTGTCAGATTTGTTCCATGGAACATCCATGTCCGGCATTTCACCGCCATCATCATCAAGGTCTCGTGCATCGCGGTTTCTTCCCTAATCCCAGGAAGTCAGCAAAATCTTCACCAAGCGTTATTGTTTCTTGTAAATGAGAATGTATAAAATACAAATGCATTATTCCGCTAATCAGGCTCCACGCACATGTGACTTATAGTTATTACTGTACGGGGAATAATTAGAGAGAAGTCAGAACAAGTAAGTAGAGAGAGTATATTAGAAATGTATTCAGCGTATTTGCTTCTTTTTTTACAAATGGGGAAATGAGGTGCTATTTATAGTAGCAATAAATACCAGATAGGGACACGTGTCAAGCATCCATTGGCTGAGGGGTCACCTCAACTGGTTGGCGCTGTCAATCGCATGTGGCCACATTTAATGCGGCTGTTGGTTGGGACGTCGTACTTGGTACGGTGATCCCTGCGCATGTGGAGCGTATATTATGTCGGAAAAGGTGCCCTCGGCTGTAGATGATTAGTCTAGGGCTCTGAGTACCGGGGACCTCCTTAGTGCCGAGTGCTCTAGGTGCCGAGGGCTACTGATTTTCGTCGTTTTCTCCCAGTAACTTTGTTTTCTTGATTTGGCCATCCTGTGAGAATTGGAGCCTTCGGCCAGGGGGCCGAAGGCACCCCTAGTATGCCACGTGGGTTGCTTAGTACTTGGGGCGCCGTGATTTAGACCTGCTGTGCTTCCTGGGCCTATTGGGCCTCCATTAGAATAGTAGGAATCTATGGGTCGGGGGTTCCTGAGCCATATACTTCATCAACTAACAAATTCAATTTTAGGAAAATTCTATTTACAGCCCATATTATACTAAAGACATCCACTTAAACAGCTCAATTATCTGATATATCCTTTTCCTAGCGAATAGCGTGCCATGCAGCAAGGAGCTTGGAGACGATTGCAGTCCCGACATGCGTCTGTGGTCGCTGCAAAGCTTGATTAAGACAAAGGTGAGGGCTCCGATGGCGGAAATGTTAAGCAAATATTGTATGTTGCCATATCATGCTGCGTCCAAGTCATCAAATTCACCTGTAGAGGTATATTGAAGCTTGGGGCATTGAGATTCCTATGTATCTTAGCATCATGTATTCACAATTATGGCTTGAGAATTGAAAATTTTGTTGAAATTCAATGGAAGATATTAGAATTTCGGATTTGATTGGAAGATTTTAGGATCCGGATCCGAATTGAAATCTGATTTGAAGATTTAAGATATCATCTGTGTGTCATTAGGAGATGTCGCTATGTGTAGTGGCTAATGAATTCCAAACAAAATTCAGACGAAAAGTCAAAAAACAACGTCAAACTATTAAGGTATAATAATATGAAATAAAATTTAGTATGAAAATAAGTGTGTGTAACTAATAAAAAGATGGTTGTGAATAGAATTGCCATTTTTGCAACTCAATAGTTTTTATACAAAAAAATCATTTATGTTGCCTTAAATATGATTCCAAAGACTTATTAATTACAATATTACATCCTTGCAAAGAATCATCAATGCAATTTATGCAGCTTTATTTTTAATCTAATTCCCAAACACTCACCGTTTAAAACAAGAGTTGACATCAATTGCATAATTTTACTCTAAATTCTAAAAATCGCTTTAGGCATCCGACTAGTCCTCACCTAGGCGCTAGGCGGTGGCCGGACGTCTCGATTTTAGTCTAAGCATTCCGACTAATTGATTTGAAGCCTAGGAAAATTAGTCGGCTGCCTATGGCACCTAGTTGCCCGCCCAGAGTGCTTAATCGACCGCCTAGGCGTCTAGATTTGTTGAACATTTTATTTTTCTTTTTTTATTTTGTATTCTGAGATAATGTACCTTTAACTTTAACAACGCATATGAAGAAAACTAATAGTTGTAGATTAAGATAAAAACTATACATGATTATATATAATCATAAGTGGTATTATTATTATTTAATAATGTTTATTACATATTGATGTTATTTGAGTAGGTATTTTATGTTATTAAAAGTGACAACTTTATCATTCATGCATGTTAATGTGTATGTGTGCATATATATATTTTATACAAAAACAAACACAACATTACTAATCATATCTATGCAAAAATATTGATAAAACTATAATTTTCATGTCTCCGACTAGTCATCGCCTAGGCGTCCGCCTAGCCGCTTAGGCGTTGGGCTGGCGGCTGGCGTCCGACTAGCGCCTAACACCTTTTAGAACATTGTTGTAAACTATTAACTTCTATTTTTATAATTTGTAAAAGCCTTATAGTGGAATTAAAACAAAGTGAAACTAATGTATACTCCCTGCGTCCCAAACGAGTCTCCATACTACTTACAGAAATGGAGTAGTTTGTATTGAGGAGCACTACACCAATGAAAAGAGAAAAGTGGGATAGGAAATTTCAATTCAATGATTATAATAGTGTATGTGTACAAACTATTACTATATGCTGCGTACGTTTTCTAAAAAGAGTCTTGTTTGACTTTCAAATAAAAAAGAGTCTTGTTTGTTATACTGATATGAATACTACAGACATGGTTTTTTGGGGGTAGAGGAAGTATTACTTTCAACTAAGAACCTATTATATGGGGTTATAGAGGGGGGAACAGAGATGTTTTTGTTTGAACAAAGGGCGCATCATTCTGCTGGACGAGGAAGATTCTGCCAGCCTGTGCAAACTTGGAGAACAGTTTTAAGGGAATCTGAGGGCATTTCCAATGTCCAGTTAGGGTAAAATTCACTTGGATGGAAACATTGGTGACCTGCTCCAGATAATAATAATCCTTGGGCACCATTCAGAAATAGATCACCATCTGATATGATTATCCCTGATTCTGCCACCTCTTTGTCTGCTGCCTAAATCATCAAAATACCATAGCTGATGAAATTAGTCATATAACACAAATTTTATGTGTATTAGAAGTTATGTGCATCAGGATACTCATCAGCAAACAAGTGATATGAAGAATGAAAAAACTTTAAAGAACGGTGAGGGGAACATTTGGTGATAATCATTGGTAAACTCAGTTCCCAGTAGAATGACCAAGTTGACAGTTAAAGTGTTGTGACATTGTAATACATCTCCACACATTTATTATTTCAAGTAAGAATCCTTTTCTAGCACGGAATGTTATAGAGCCTTTATTTGAAACCATTTACCAATTGCAGATTGTATTCATCAAAGAATAGACAAACTAGAAAATGTGTGCATGCAATAAAAGGACACTCCATCACTATCGATTTCCTTCTGTTTCTGACGCAAAGAGCATACATAAAAACTTCACATACATGCGTACACACATTGTTATATTACTTGTATGATATGTTGGTCTTTATGTGTAACATTGCATATTTATATCATTTTAAATTTTGATATGCATACAGCCATACACCTTTTCCATCATTTGCAATGTAGCCAAAGATTCATTATTTTTTGGCTTGAGATTATGATGGAATAAAGCAAAATGACTCACTAAACTGTCTGCGCTTCTTTGTTATGAAGCAGCAGTCAGTCCATGCAATTTTGGACTCGATTTTCACTATGGGTCATCCGGAAACAGTCTCTCTGTGCTTTAGTATAGGGGTAAGACTGCGTACATCCGACCCCCTTACCCCACCGTAGCCGTCCGTAGGTGGGAGCCTTTGCGGCACTGGGGTAAATGAAAATGATACAGCCATACACCATATAATCTGTAGTGTTGTTTCATTCAGGTGTTGTGATTTATAAAAACTGCTATAAGCAAAATGCAATATCCCATTTTTTAGAAATAAAAAACATTATCAGGACAACTGATTTCAATAAATTCAGTCAAGCTCAAACACCAAATGATCTTAACTGTTCATCATCCAATAAAGCCAAGATCAAGCACACCAAAGATGACATACATTACATGAATGAATTCATTACAACCCTACAGGCCGACAAATAACATAAGGTCGTTTTAAAATTAATGTATACTCCCTGTATCCCAAAAGAAGTCTAGTTTAAAGAACTTTTTGTTGCGAAAAGACAAAAAAAAAGAGTCCGGTTTCAAAAGCCAACTTTAATTTTGAAGTGGGATTCTTATAAAGCATGGTAGCAAGCGGTTTTAATCAATTATTCCAAACAGTCTTGGAAAAAAGTTTTAGGGTATAAGTCACCATTCATAAGTTTTAAAAGTTTGTAAATCGATTGTTGGCAAAAAAAAATTGTACCGTTTTATTTTCAATTACAAGGGCGTATCTTTTTTTCAATTGTGAGCGTAGATTCATTTGATACTGTAAATTAATGTGCAGCAGAGTAACAGTTAGGGTAGAGCTACCTTCTCTGTGTAGTATTCAAAAGCCTTTTTCTTCTCTCCAGCTTCATAAATATTACATTGAGAATAAACCTGCAACCAACCACACATTTGTTATCGATTTTCAACATTCACTAGCCATTTTATGCAGCAACTAAACTCACCAGTGATTCTACACTGGCACATACAGCATATAAACCCCAATTTCTTGTGTAGTTGTTGTAAAGGTGTACTTTACCAAACCTAACACGAGGTTGCCTTTGTTTTGTGCAATCAAAAAAACAGTGGTGGATGGTAACTCTTATGCATCTATCGTTGACGTGAGAGGGATCTGCACCGATAAGCATTGTTTTATTGTGATCTGTGAAATAACATCTGCAAGGAAAAAGTCTTCATTAGTCATTGCCTCCATACAAACAAGTCATGTGTTTAGAAAACGTTGGACGACCTAGACACGGTTATGTCTGTGCTTTGTCTTGTTATGTCTATTAGGCCATCATCATAATCACGAAGTGAACAGCGATCAATCCATATGTGCTTCGAATTTGGTTTTATTTGAATGCCATCCACATCATGACCCCTGCCGCCTTGAAACTCCAAGTTGCATACAATTACATGTTCACAGGCTTTTAGGCGTAAGCCTTTCCCAGTGAGCTTCACCCTTTGTCCACGCCCATCAATGGTCTTATAAGATGACACACTCAGGTACGATAAGAGATTAATGACACCTGAAACTTCAAAGACGATCCAAAGTGGCTCTGTCTTACGGCATCCATCACGAAGTGATCCTGGACCATCATCTACAAAAAATAATGATGTAAGTCATACTGAAGCCCCAAGTAGATAACTTCGTATGAAAGACAACCCAATCCCACCAGCCAGCCATCACACAAATGAGCTGTTAAGAAAAAGAACCATTTTGAACAGGTTACTTGTTCCCATTCCATTTAAAAGCGCCATTATTAAGCTCCAAACTATAAGCAGTTTTAGAGGCAATGCAGCTTCACTTAAGACTTTTTGCAAACACATGGGATACAAAATCTATCAACAAATTGGAATGGCATATGTTCATCTTCACAGAACCCGAACTCGAATTCTGTACCGAACAAGCAACCATAAAATTTGATTTCCATGTATACTTCATTTCTCAAGCATCATTAGCAGATTATTTATTACAACAAAAACACAATTGTTTAATACATACCCTCACAAGCTACAGCCTACAGATAAATTACAAAGCATTTAGCGACGCATTTTTGTTATTAATATTACTCATCCGCCATCACAATTCACAAATACGTAGTATGTGTTAAGGTAGGTTGCCGGTATACAATTTACTACAGTTTTTTCCAAACAAACATAAATTACAGATAAAATCAGAAAATGAAAAACTATACATCGAGAATTCGAGATGGGAAGATGGAACCAACCGGCTAATGTCGTAACACGATAAAGCTGACCGTTGAGGCCGCCTATGGAGGACCTTCCAAATCCTTCGGCTCGACCGGCCATAGATCGGAGGGTAAAGTCGACGTCAGCATATGGTAATGCCGCCATGGCGGTTGTCTCAGCGAATCTCTGTTTCTTCGATGGTAACCGGACGTTAACACGGCAGATACCATAAAGTGGTGGATTGTTTTGTTTCTTCTACGGCTCCACTCATACATTAATGTTGCACAATTCTCATAATACCGTTCATAGCTTCTTTATCGGCAGTTTCACGTGAGGATGATGGGTGAGGACTAAGGGGGCATCCGCATTTCCAAATTATTTAGGGTGTTTTTAAGTCCACTCTCATCTAATCAATTGAAAGCCGTTCATCCTTTTATCCGGTCTAATCAAAATATATTTTACTTAAAAATAAGAATATTACTAAAATAAGTCATATTTACGTAAAAATGATTATTTATTACTATAATGTGGTGTTGTGGTAACTTAAGCTCAAAACTTGAAAATGAATTACTATGATTTCATTACTACTCTAGTAACTAGTCATTTTTTTTGTAAATCATCTTTATTTTGGTCATATTTATGTAATTATTTCTATATTTAACTCTAATCGATATTCTTTAATAAAAATACTCCTTATGTCACATTCAAATGTTCTTGTCCACTATTCACATGATCAACTTAAATCTTTTTTAATCTTTTGTTTATATATCAAATTTACATTTATATCAGGTTTTATAGCGATTTTAATATAGTTTCTGAATATTTAAATTTTATTTACTAAAAATAATTGGAGTGTGATGGATAAAAGTTGTATCCAAACATATAATTTAGGAGAGATCGAGCTAATGGAGAATGAAATGAATAGTGTAAATCTGTATAAAAAAATGGTTGGGGTTACAAGGTCTCCCATAATTAGTTTATATAGAGAAATAGCGGGTCAGACTACTAATATAGGCCCGATAGGTCCAACTACGTAAAAGACTCGTCTAGTATATGTACAAATTAATATGTGAATTTTATAATAATATAAGTGGTGTCCGCTAAGCGTGTGTGGGCCGCTGTATAGGCCCAATAGTAATGAAATGGGAGTCCCAATATTCAGGAGATGAGCTTCTTGGTCATGCTTCGGAGAGTGAGAAGAGGGTCCCAATTTCGACGATTGGGGATTTATGGGACTCACACGCAAATCAAGACATCTGCAATAAGGCTTGCTTGATCACAAAGGAAAATTGTTTGCCCACACAAAACCTCAACACTCAAAAAAAAAATAACACAAAAAGACATCAATGCTCGCATCCAATGAGGACTAGATCCCAATCTCATGTATGTGGGATTTTGATAATTCATGCTCCTTAGTGGTTTTATGGGAAGGGTCTCATCTTGTTTGTTGGTTTATCTTCTTCTTCTTTTTTGTTGCTTCATCTTTTCTTTGTTCTTTCTTTGTACTTATATATTTATCATTAATAAAGTTTCTTTTTAGCAAAAAAAGGAATGAAATGGGAGTCCAAGTCTATATAGGGGGTGTTTGGAACTGATTCTGCTTCTGCTTCTTTTTTAAAGCAGAAGCAGAATCAGAATCAGTTTTCAGAAGTTGGTACCCCCCAGCTTCTAAAAAAACTGATTCTAGGAGTAAATTAGAGCACCAGAATCACTTCTTCATTTTCACCCAAACACTCCAACTTCTGCTTCTGCTCCCTGAAGGAGCAGAAGCAGTTTTAAGAATCAGATCCAAACACCCCCATAATCTATCGGCAGTTCATCACTCCTTGAGATGAGAGTACTATAGGCAAAAGGGAGTAGAACTACGTGTTTATCTGTTATCGACTGACGGAATACACTTTGTCTCTCCCGAGGTGCCCCTCAGTGTTAATGTCATATGAAAGATTATAAAAAAATAGGAATTTTGATACTCGTATATTTTTTATTAAATTTGGAGCACAAATAAAAATGTTGCAACACTTTAAATAATATTGATATTTATATTTTGTATGGATTCTATTTCTTTTCATTCTCTACACGCAATCTGAATGTCTTAATGTGATTAGCTTCTTTTTTTTCCTATTTGAAATGCCCCTTTCCGAATTTCGCAATCCCACATTTCCTAAGAGTGTGTTTGGGAGTTTGAGGGTGGGGGGGGGGGGGGGGGGGGGCTTTGAAGGGAAGTAGAGAGAAGGGAAGGGGAGGGAGATGGAAGGGATTCACTCCTCTTGTTTGGAAGTTACAAATTTCAAAAGTGAAGGGTTTTTGGACTTGAGGGGTTTCAGCGGCAGAGAATGGAGCGAGTAACAAAGCATAAAATTTTTTATGCGAAAACTGTAGTAGTTTTAGAGGATAAATATGTCATTTGTGTAGTTAGACTTTTGAAAACCTTCTAATCGGGGGAATAAAAAAACCCAGGTTTTGGAGGGTTTATAAGCATTTTTTAACACCCCCAAAATCTTTCCCTCATATTATTTGAACTCTCAAACACAAATAGGAGGGTTTATTTCCCTCACATGTTTTCCTCTCCCCTCTAAAACCCAACTCCCAAATACACCTTAAAACAAATTCCCGTTTTTTGCATTGCTTGTTCGATTTTCCCGTGTTCTAAGAAAACACTTTGGATTAAAAGCTACTCTGTATATTTCATTCATTTAGCTACACAAATGTTATTATGTTTGACACTAAGAGTATGTTTGGGAGTTTGGAGAGAACGGAAGGAGAAGACTTTGAAGGTATGTTGTTGAAGGGGGAAGGGAGAGGAGGGTGAGGAAGCCCTTCTTTGCATTTGGAAGTAATAAATTTGGAAGAAGAGAATTTTTGAATGAATTACAATTAAAATCTCTTTGAGATAGGACAAATTCAAATAATTGAACTGATATTTGTTTTAAATTGAGCTTAAATTACCATTTCGTTAATTATCCTTCAAAACTCTACAAATTGTGGGAACTCAAAACTTGAGCATTTAAAGGGCTTTAGAGGGTCACAAAAGCCCTCCAAAATCATCCCCTCCAATTTTATAAACTCTCAAACATGAAAAGAAGGGTCATAAACCCCCTTAAACATTCCCTTCGCCTCCAAAACTCAACTCTCAAACACACCCTAAGCGTGTTTTTTATTTGATTTTAATTTTACATTTCGGCCTGATCTGAATTAATACATTTCTGTCTCGATTAGTATGAATAAGTCTAGTATAGTAAGAAATAATTACACATTTATGATAAAAATAAAGATTGTTCGAAAAATGTGACTAATGACTAGAGTAGTAATGAAGTAATAATAACTTGTGTTCAATTTTTAAACTTAAGTTGCTATTACACTACATTACTACATTGTAGTAACTATTAATCATATTCGTGTAAATATGTTGATGGATAGTGTACCCGGGGGGTAGCTTATCCGAGGGGTTATCACGGAGAATAATAAGAGAGAAGTCAGAGCAAGTAAGTATAGAGAGAGAAAGTATATTTAGAAAGTATGCAGCGTTTTCAGCGTGTTATGACTTGGTTACTAATGGGGAAATGGGGTGCTATTTATAGTAGCAATAAATGCCAGACAGGGACACGTGTCAAGCGTCTATTGGCCGAGAGGTCATCTCAATTGGTTGGCGCTGGCAACCGCATGTGGCCGCATTTAATGCGGCTGTTGGATGGGACGTTGTACAGGGTACGGTGATCCATACGCATGTGGAGCGGATATTATGTCGGAAGAGGCGCCCTTGACAGTAGATGACTAGCCGAGGGCTCTGAGTACCGGGGACCCCCTTAGTGCCGAGGGCTCTAGTTGCCGAGGGATACTAATTTTCGCCGTTTTTCCCAGTAACATTGTTTTCCTGTCTTGGCCCTCTTGTGAGAGTTAGAGCCTTCGGCCAGGGGGCCGAAGGCACCCCTGGTGCGCATTGTGGGCTGCTTGGTACTCTGGGCATTGTGATTTGGGCCTGTTGTGCTTTCTGGGCCTGTTGGGCCTTTATTGGAGTAGTAGGAGTCTGTGGGCCGGGGGTTCCCGGGCCATATACTCCATCAGGAGTCCCTCACTCCTTTTGCCAAAAGGTACTTGAGGGAAAAGGAGTAATTGTGTTTGTCCTCTGTCGTTGTTTCGTTTTTAGTTTGTAGAGTTGTGGGTAGTTTGCTGTTTGTTTATCTTGCCGAGGGCAGTCCCTCAGTTACCCACATGTCGGGACTTGAGGGGTCATGTTTGTGATTTTCGTGATTTTTCCCGAGGGGGTCCTCCGGTCCCCCACTCCTTGAGGCACTTGCAAAGTGGTGAAAAGGAGTAGAGTAGTTGCGTTGCTATTTTGGACCGAAGGCTGACGCTTTTCGTTTCATTTTGGGGGGATGCCTCGTTAAAAGCCTCATTAGGAAAAACCCTGTGGGAAAAAATCCTAATGAGGGAAAAAGAGTGCACCGAATTCCCCCAACGATGAATCAAAAATGTGAAACCTTGGTTCGAAATGGAGAATAATGCTGATGCCGAAGGCTTTCCTTGTTCTGAGGGCTCATGCGTTGATTAGCCGGAGGCTTGTTGTTGATGTCCTGGGAGGTGCCGAAGGGGGGTCCCTCTATCCGGGGATCGAGGGCGTAATGAATGCGAGTAGTGGTTGAAGTGTTACCGGGGTGTCCCCTGTTTGTTGATTAGTTGGTGAGGAGGGTATCCGAGGGCTCCCGTTACCTGTGTGCCGTAGATTACCTGTTAATGAGGCGTACTCCCCGGGGGCTACCCGGCCCTCAAAGTGCTGAGGGGGATCCCCGAGGGGTGGCCTGATATGAAGCCTTGGGCTTCTGAAGGAGTGATCCCGAAGGCATCTGTTATGTAGTGTGTGGGGCACAAACCGGGAGCGTCTCTGGGTAAGTATACCCGGAGGCTCTCCTTGATGAAGTGGAGCGAAGTAAAAAGCCCAGGGGCTAATTTCTTGGTTGATGAAGGAGTGGTCTGTCAAGTGTAGCCGGGAGCTCCCAGAATATAGCCGTTGGAGATATAGCCGTTGGAATATCTAACGTCAGGATATAGCCGTTGGGGGGAGTTGCCACGTGGTGTGTGCTCGTTGGCTGTCCGTGGGCGGGCGTCACCGATTGGGCGAAACCATGGTTTGTAATGATGGCAGTCCAACCGGAGGCCCGGTTTCCAGGCCCAAGCCCGGATCCTTTTGCCTATAAATACCCCATGGCCGGACACCACTCTCCCTGTGCGATTACTTGTTAGCGAAGCTCTGCCGGATTTTTTCTAGAGAGAGAAACACTGCCCTCGATCTAACTCCCGCTTTAAGGTTAGTTCCCCCATCTGTTCTTCTCCCTCCTTACCTAGCTGTAGCGGCCTTAGATCTAGGACTGTAACTTAGAACACTT